ATACCTTCAGTAGTTCTATTACCTTCAGTTATAACAACGATACCTTCAGTAATTATATTACCTTCAGTTAATATAACATCTATACCTTCATTAGTTCTATTACCTTTAGTTATAACAACGATACCTTCAGTAGTTCTATTACCTTTAGTTATAACAACGATACATTCAGTAGTTCTATTACCTTGGGTTATAACAACGATACCTTCGGTAGTTCTATTACCTTCAGTTATAACAACGATTCTTTCCGTAGTTCTATTTCATTCAGTTATAACAACGATACCTTCAGTAGTTCTATTACCTTCAGTTATAACAACGATACCTTCAGTAGTTCTATTACCTTCAGTTATAACAACGATACCTTCAGTAGTTCTATTACCTTCAGTTATAACAACGATACCTTCAGTAATTATATTACCTTCAGTTAATATAACATCTATACCTTCATTAGTTCTATTACCTTTAGTTATAACAACGATACCTTCAGTAATTATATTTCCTTCAGTTAATATAACATCTATGCCTTCATTAGTTCTATTACCTTTAGGTATAACAACGATACATTCAGTAGGTCTATTACCTTCAGTTATAACAGCGATACCTTCAGTAGTTCTATTATCTTCAGTTATAACAACGATCCCTTCAGTAGTTCTATTACTTTCAGTTATAACAACGATCCCTTCAGTAGTTCTATTAACTTCAGTTATAACAACGCTACCTTCAGTAGTTCTATTTCTTTCAGTTATAACAACGATTCTTTCCGTAGTTCTATTTCATTCCGTCATAACAACGATACCTTCAGTAGTTCTATTACTTTCAGTTATAACAACGATCCCTTCAGTAGTTCTATTACCTTCAGTTATAACAACGATACCTTCGGTAGTTCTATTACCTTCAGTTATAACAACGATAACTTCAGTAGTTATATTACCTTCAGTTATAACAACGATACCTTCAGTAGTTCTATTACCTTCATTTATAACAACGATACCTTCAGTAGTTCTATTACCTTCATTTATAACAACGATACCGTCAGTAGTTCTATTACCTTCAGTTATAACAACGATTCCTTCAGTAGTTCTATTACCTTCAGTTATAACAACGATATCTTCAGTAGTTCTATTACCTTCAGTTATAACAACGATTCTTTCCGTAGTTCTATTTCATTCAGTCATAACAACGATACCTTCAGTAGTTCTATTACCTTCATTTATAACAACGATACCGTCAGTAGTTCTATTACCTTCAGTTATAACAACGATTCTTTCCGTAGTTCTATTTCATTCAGTCATAACAACGATACCTTCAGTAGTTCTATTACCTTCATTTATAACAACGATACCGTCAGTAGTTCTATTACCTTCAGTTATAACAACGATTCCTTCAGTAGTTCTATTACCTTCAGTTATAACAACGATACCTTCAGAAGTTCTATTACCTTTAGTTATAACAACGATACATTCAGTAGTTCTATTATCTTCAGTTTTAACAACGATATCTTCAGTAGTTCTATTACCTTCAGTTATAACAACGATACCTTCAGTAGTTCTATTACCATCAGTTATAACAACGATACCTTCAGTAGTTCTTTTGCCTTCAGTAAAAACGTCACTTTCAGTAGTTACAATTTAATGTTGCATTCAAAAGTATTAAAAGATAGAACATTCAGAAGTTACATGTTGCATTTGTGAATTCTTAAGTTTTATTAAGTAGGTAAAACATTCTATTCAATAGTTACAGCATGACAATCAGTAATTATAACATATTTCATTATATATTCACAACATTACATTCAGGACCTGTAACATCACATTCAATACGTTAAACGTTACATTTCTACCAAAATAATGTCTCTTTTACAATTATGTCGCGTCCTTTAAGGTCATAAGCTTTGGTCCTGGCATTGCTTTAGTAATTACACCCCTTCTTTAAAACGAATTCCTTTCTATAGCAGTATAAACCGGATGTTAAGAACACGATAAAGATGTACCGTATTTTAGTTATCTGTAATACGTTTCGTTGCAAGTTATGCTTCGAGAAATTGTTCATTCGTTGATGGGGTCGTGTCGCCCTAACATTATTTCCGATTCATAAGAATAATGTCGTAATTCCGTCAATAATTACTGTTTCTGCCTTTCTTACTTCCAAACTTCTTACTCCAAACTTATACAGGTTTACTGATAAATGGCTATTAACATGAATGATTTGTGCCCATCAGGCCAATTAGTGACTTAAGGTCAGCTGAACGGGAACTCGCAGTATGCTGAACCCGGAACCCTGAACCCTGAACCCTGAATTATCTATCTATAACGTAAAGAGTCTGTTGTCTTGCAGTTGAACTCTCATTTTTATACGTTGGCTCTCCTTCTGAAACGGAACTTCATCTCTTACGAATCATGTCTTCCGGCGGGGCTGAACTGAGTAAGGTTGATATAAAAAAGGTCAAAGAAACATTCAGAAGTTACATGAAAATAACCAGCAAGTCAGCAAGCGCAGACCAAATCAACTCCAAAGCCATTGGAAAGTTGACAAAAAAGTGCTGGCCGAAGGAGCTATGTCTATATATTGATACTGTTGCCTTCCCGGCTTGCAAAGAAAAAGGAAAACCGTATGTACATTTCTTTATTCGTATATATTTTCAACTAAAATAACGATAACAAAACTTTAACATACAAATCGATACAAATGAAGTTGTAGTTAGCTATATTTATGATATATGAGAAACACTTATCCCATTTAAACCATCTGTTACCATATTTCCTAAGCTATTGGATTAGTTTTAACTTTTCACAATCTTAAATATTACTCCGATACGACCAAAATAACAATACACGTACCAATGTTGTGCAAGAAATACTTTGACTTCCACACAAAGACAAATTTCACAATCATCATATGAAAGTACTATCAGCATCAATGTTATAGGAATAAAAACCAAATTACATGCCAGTACATTCTTAACGAAGCCCTAACGCGTATACACATTTCAATATCCCTTTTGTCCTGTTGGCATTTAAATTGTGAATATCAATGTTTGTAATATGTTTTCACAATCTTAAGCCAACGATTCGACTTTTGTAATGTATGTAATGTTTTATGGTTATATATTGTCTTAGTTTCATGTTAATAAACGATGAGAAGACCAAGGATTTCATAGGACGGTGTGCCTCAAAGATGAGATCTCTCGGGAAAGTTCCAAAGGAAGCATCATGGGAGGCGGAACTCATCGGCATGTTGACACCTCCCACTATGGAAGGAGTGACGGTTAGTCAAAGTCAATTCATTATCATCTCAAACGCCAATAAGTCCAGACTTGCAAAGCAAATTAGGATGACATTTTAAATAAGGATGTATTTTTAGGTCATCGGAACCAAAACCTTGTAACATATGTATATAAAGCGATCCGTCTTCGTCCTTCGCCGTAAGTCGTTATGTGCCTAGAGTCGTTCATTGTGCGTTAACACTTTACATTGGAACTTAAAACAAATATTACTGAACGAATTTTAATTTACGGAGATGTTCTGTACATGGTCTAACTAAATTTTGATATTGTTTGGGTTGTCAAATAATCTAGAGGACCGCCAAATTACCCCATTGAAAATCAATTTAAAGCCAAATCTCCTGTTCTCCTGGAAGGGATTTTAATTTTACCTGATTGGATTATTTATTACATAGTCCTGACTAAGTCTTGGTATTTTTCTGAACGCTAAGATATCAGAGAGAGAGACAACAATGCAGCTATCTTATTAATCTATTTTGAGCTTAAACAATTATGACAAAGTGTTGTTATTCGTTAATATTGAGTCGACGAAAACTCCAATATGGCTGCCATTATGGAAACTTGATTCAAACTTAAACATAAGTTCAAATAAGCCAATTTGATTGAAACGTATTAAGGATGGCTGATTGTAATGATGATAATGATGAGAATGATGAGAATAATAGACTGGTGATCCTAACAAAGTTTAATTTGATTGAATTTTAACGGAAATGAAATTACCAGCACTTTGAAAAAAAAACTGTTTTGCCCATAAACTATAGTTCCATTGAGCCGACTTCGCTCAAACTTGGTATGGTGATCGGCTGATTAATTTGATAATGTGTAAGCCAGGGTGAAATGATACACTGGGCTATAAATGGGACTTAACCTAGTTTATTTAAGTCTCTCTTTCAAACGCCAGTACACAGGTTAATATCAATTTTAACTTCTACAGTGGACACGACCATTACACTGATTGATCTGTGTTGAATATCATTTATATTGCCAGTGGTTAAGTACATGTAAGTGGGTCAATAATGAATTGATGGACCTGACTGTGTCAGTTTAATGTAAACTAAGAACCTGATCCACTCCCGGAATCGGAGAGGCGCAACTAATGTTTTAAAAATTGTGTCAACCGGAAATTCTAGAATCAAATACTCTTTTTGGTTCATAAGGAAGCATTAGGAAACAAACCGTAAGCATCGTTTTTGAGGTCATTGGCACATTCAGATGAATTTCATGCCTCCGTTCTCACTGTTTGGCCCGGCCTTTGGTACATAGGGTCCATTTAATAAACAAATAACAAGAAATATGTCATATCTTATTAGAAGTATTAAAATAATTTAAATGAATGGCTTTTAGTATGTTTTAGTTGCTGACATGATGGGTAATGAACTCTCCTGCCCTTTCCATTTCACGTCTCCGTAACAAAACATAACTACCGTTGGTGTATAGAACAGCTCAGATGACCGTATATGAATTACACACTTTTTGACTTCGATGTGAAGGTTATGATCCATGAAAATAAACAGTATCTAAAAAACCGTCTGTAATAAAAGTGATAAAAGGGTATTGACTAAAACTCGTCTTTAATTGAGTTATCGCCACATAAACAGGCTAAAAATAGAAAAAAAAGCTTCAAAGGTCTTTTAATAATCAAAGATAAACCGTTTACTACGATATTCAAGTTTGTGATGTAAGATATAGTGTGTCGGATAAACATGTTTAAATATATTTTTAGAAAGAATCTAAGACGGGAAACGTGAGCCATTTCACGGACTGTTCGGGTTACACTGGGACACACAAGGAGCGGTTCGACGACAGTGGTAAAGGGAAGGGAAAGGACGGACGGGACGACACCACCCCTAAAGATGGTTACGTTCAGGCCTTCAAGGACAAGGGAACGTACGACGAAACACACTGAATAACTGCATACACGTGTAAATGTCTATTTCATATTTATTTTTTCTTTTACTACTGTCTTTTATTATTGAAAGCTGCAAGTCTGGACAATTTAATTGTTTTATAAACATAAGTTTACAGAGTGTCTTTTACAATTTTAGAATTAGCTAATGACCAATTGATAAACGTGGTAGCCAGCCATCATAAAGTCGGGGACCTTTTTCTCCCATAACGTTCATATTTCATTTGGAAAACCACGTGTTTCCCTTAGAAAACAACCATTATATCTGTTTCCTTGAAAACAATTGCCTTGAATCAATTTGTCACGATAGAAGATGACGTCGTAAAACATTGTTATGTGACGTTATAGTTGAAAGATTGACCAATGAAACAACGTCTGTGGTGTTACTTATAGTGGATAGCCAAAAATGTTGACCAACTCCAGTAGGTTTATCTAATGAGTCGTGGGTAAGGAAAGCTATAATGGTTATGGGAGAAAAGAAGTTTTTATTATTACAAAAGGAAATTATTAATGATAAAGTACTAGGGTAAGTAAGGTAAGCCTTGGGTCACAGATTGTTTGGGTAGTTGTGGATTGAGACGCAGTTCTATACTAAGGTGAGCAGTAGCATTATTATTTCTATCACTTAACAGTGGAACACAGACATACCGTTATATGTTGTAGTAAATATATTGTTTTATAAGTGCTTAATTCCATTATCCATAATTGGATTGCCATCATTACGTTTTCTGTTTAAAACATTCGAAATGGATTTATCAACTGGTAGGGAACGATTAGAATTATGATTTAAACACTTATTAAGGGATTGAGTAAAGACCTTTATGAATTAACATGCATTTAAATATAAAAAAATGAAATAGCATGCCACAAATTGGTAAAGTTTGAAACATCTGGAACACAAAATTGTTAACCAGGATTTATAGACATTATTGTAACATAAATATGGCCTGTCTTTCTTCAATTTTTGTTAAAATCCTAACATATAATTTGTGTTTTATTTCCATAAAATTAAAAATATGATCACTATCTTATCGTAGACGTATTTGACGTGACATTGGTTGTGCGTTGTTTTTCATGTTATCTCAGCATTCAAATCACTTTTAGGCTACCTGTTTTGTAATATCTGACTCGATATCATGCTGTTCTTAAAGAAAAACAAATCTATGTATGTTATAGTAATCTCCCTTTTGTCGATAAGTCATGATCTGTAGACACATTTGTCATTGCTTTGGGAAAATTCGAATGGAGCTGTCGCAATACGTTATACGTCATATCCCTTACAATGTTTTAAAATACATTCATGACAAACATAATTAATATATCAACTGGACGAAACAGTCATTTTAGCTCTCGATACGGTCAAAACAAATGGCATGGAATCAACATACATTTAAGATAACATGTTAGTGACAAAAACAAGGAGAGAATAAAACTGTATTTAGAACTCTAATGCGATAAATCAAGAACAAAATATGGACAAAGAGAGATTTAAATAAAGACCATGGAAAAAGAAAAGTTCTGAATCCACAAAATTATTGCCCCTATCATTGCTCTGACGTTTAATGAACTTGCATGTCTTACGTACTAAATATGGTCCTTTTTGTGTTTATGTGCATAGCTATGGTATTTTTGTGACTATTTATTATCATATATATCATCATGTAGGCCTTAGGAAACACTGATATACCGAGAAAAAAATAAAACACATAAGATACATCATTGGTAAACTTGGTTTTTGTAGGGTTAATAGCATCAATAATTGTATTATCGAATGGCCAGTTATTTGTTTTCAGAGAAACTACAAGAAAAAGGTAATGGTAATTGTTTTTTGAAAGCTTTACATTAACTATTGATATATCATGCTGCTTGTATATAACGTCACGGATGATAAACATCTTATGCAAACTTTGTAACAGAACCGATTGTGGCAATTTAAATGGCAGCATTAGAATAATTTGTGAAGAAGTTTTATAATATTTTTTATTTGTTTTGGGAATATATACACACAACCAGCAAACAATCGTATTTATGCAAATATTGATTTGGAAGTCCTGTTTATAGTGTATCTGCTTAAACCTTTGTAAATATTATTTTGACAGTCTCTGTATGTATGTTATTTTGTAAATTTGTATCCGGACATAAAAAAGGATAGGAAATTCTGTTTAGAGTATATATGTTTTGACCACTCTTTATACCTTTTTGACATTCTCTGTATATGTTGTTTTGTAAATTTGTATACGGACATTAGCCAGCGAAATATTAATCACAAATTGAAGGAATAATTACATATGGATATACAGCTAGAGATCGACCTCTGAGGCCTTATCTAAATGTCAAGCATTTAACAGCTTCATTAATAATAATTAGAAAACATTGTTAACAGACTGGGTTATTAGAAAGGTCGTCTTATAAGACAATCAACAGGCAACGTTTGTCCCATTAAAATCCTTTATCATGTTAATATGTCTTTCTCACTTTTTAATAAGCCTTGTATAGAACGTTCCTGTGCACGTAAACAATCATCGTTACTATCTACTATATGTAGCAACTATTTAATGTATGGAAGAGTGGCAAGGATATATGTTATATAATATTTAATCAAATGTTTACCTCAAGACAGTTTAATGTTATAAACATGATTGTTATTATTATGACCTGATATAACATTAAAGTTACATGGCGCCATTGAAGAAAGGCTGAAAATGGTCGACTTTAAAAACGGCTGCTCTACATGAGAAAAAGGTTCATGGGAGAATGTCTGCCGGCATTCAATGAAGTGATACCCTGTTGTTCCGTGGTAATGTTGATAATTAGTTAGTAAAATACCTTTAAAATAAAATAAAATAAAATAAGTCACCAAGACTGTATTTGATGTTATTTAAATGACATCAAATTCCCGATCGCAAATATTGGGCAACATGCAGTCCGTCTGAAACGTGATAAAGAATAATACGATGAATTATCAATGATCATTTCTTTGTAAAGTGTGATACATGTACTTTCGATATCTAAGGTAAACCATTCCCTCTGTAATTCGTTGACGTTCGTTTCATACAAATCCTCTGTCATGAAAATTCGTTTGAAATGATATATTTCTAATATATTATTGTGTTTCCTTTCAGCATATTATTTGATAATGCGATTTGAAATAAACAGTAGTTTGTTAAGACATTTTTCTGAATGACTCGGGTTAATCAAGCACTAATAAAAAAATGTTATAAAATAACTGAGCACACCATGGATCGAGACTCAACATAGACTAATGTACACGAAGAATAAACTGTTCGTTGCTCTTCTTGACCAGCAATACACTGTTGGACTGCTGCAGGTAGAAGCTACGTCAAACTTAACAAACTGTGTTCTGATTGTACATTCGGTTGGAGGAGATGTCAACAAAACAATTCTTGGCTGGGTTTTTAAATAATATATGACTTGCTGGACCTTCTGTCTAGACTGTTGACATACTTGTTGCTGCGGGTAACAGTCCTGGTGGTAACTGTCCATCCTTCTGGTGGTAACTGTCTAGCTTTCTGGTGGTTACTGTCCATCCTTCTGGTGGTAACTGTCTAGCCTTCTGGTGGTAACTGTCCATCCTTCTGGTGGTAACTGTCTAGCCTTCTGGTGGTAACTGTTCATTCTCTGGTGGCAACTGTCTAGACTTCTGGTGGTAACTGTCCATCCTTCTGGTGGTAACTGTCTAGCCTTCTGGTGGTAACTGTCTAGCCTTCTGGTGGTAACTGTCCATACTTCTGGTGGTAACTGTCTAGCCTTCTGGTGGTAACTGTCCATCCTTCTGGTGGCAACTGTCGAGCTTTCTGGTGGCAACTGTCTAGCCTTCTGGTGGTAACTGTCTAGCCTTCTGGTGGTAACTGTTCATTCTCTGGTGGCAACTGTCTATACTTCTGGTGGTAACTGTCCATCCTTCTGGTGGAAACTGTCTAGCCTTCTGGTGGTAACTGTCTAGCGTTCTGGTGGTAACTGTCCATCCTTCTGGTGGTAACTGCCTAGCCTTCTGGTGGTAACTGTCTAGCCTTCTGGTGATAACTGTCCATCCTTCTGGTTGCAACTGTCGAGCCTTCTGGTGGCAACTGTCTAGCCTTATGGTGGCAACTGTCGAGCCTTCTGGTGGCGACTGTATAGCCTTCTGGTGGGAACTGTCTAGCCTTCTGGTGATAACTGTCAATCCTTCTGGTGGCAACTGTCGAGCTTTCTTGTGGCAACTGTCTAGCCTTCTGGTGGTAACTGTCCATTCTTCTGGTGGCAACTGTCGAGCTTTCTGGTGGCAACTGTCTAGCCTTCTGGTGGTAACTGTCGAGCCTTCTGGTAGTAACTGTCTAGCCTTCTGGTGGCAACTGTCTAGCCTTATGGTGGCAACTGTCGAGACTTCTGATGGCAACTGTCTAACTTTCTGCTGGCAACTGTCGAGTCTTCTGGTTGCAACTGTCCATCCTTCTGGTGGTAACTGTCTAGCCTTATGGTGGTAACTGTCGAGACTTCTGGTGGTAACTGTCTAGCCTTATGCTGGCAACTGTCGAGTCTTCTGGTTGCAACTGTCCATCCTTCTGGTGGCAGCTGTCTAACCTTCTGGTCGCAACTGTCGAGTCTTCTGGTGGTAACTGTCTAGCCTTCTGGTGGCAACTGCCCATCCTTCTGGTAGCAACTGTAGAGTCTTCTGGTGGCAACTGTCCATTCTTCTGGTGGTAACTGTCTAGCCTTATGGTGGCAACTGTCGAGACCTCTGGTGGTAACTGTCTAGCCTTCTGGTGGTAACTGTCTAGCCTTCTGGTGGCAACTGTCAAGCCTTCTGGTGGCAACTGTCGCGTCTTCTGGTGGTAACTGTCTAGCCTTCTGGTGGTAACTGTCTAGCCTTCTGGTGGTAACTGTCTAACCTTCTAGTGGCAACTGTCGCGTCTTCTGGTGGTAACCGTCTAGCCTTCTGGTTGCAACTTCCCATCCTTCTTGTAGCAACTGTCGAGCTTTCTGGTGGCAACTGTCTAGCCTTATGGTGGCAACTCTCTAGCTCCCTGCTGGCAACTGTCTAGCCTTCTGGTGGCAACTGTCTAGCCTTCTGGTGGCAACTGTCCATCCTTCTGGTGGCAACTGTCAAGCCTTCTGGTTGCAACTGTCCATCCTTTTGGTGGCAACTGACTAACTCCCTGCTGGCAACTGCCGAGCCTTCTGTTGGCAGCTGTCTAGCCTTCTGGTGGCAACTGCCCTTCATTCTGTTGGTAACTGTCTAGCCTTCTGGTTGCAACTGTCTAGCCTTCTGGTGGCAACTGTCTTGCCTTCTGGTGGCAACTGTCTAGCCTTCTTGTGCGACATTCTGGTATTTTGGTTCATTTATGTTGGTTTTTATCCCGACTGCTACTTTCTGTATTTTTTGACCTCATAATCGAAGTCGGACATGCTCGATGCAATATAACAATGTGGTATCATGCATGTTATATGTTTAAAGAGTAACTGTTTATTCATGAATGAGCTATATCTTCTATATTCATGAGATATGTCTTACAGCAATGAAGTCGGCCATTTTTAGTTTGGGCTCCTTATGCGTAAACTATGAATATTGCCAATGTACTGATCTGCCGTATGATGTTTATTAAATTTTGTAATCTTATTGTCGTCTGCTTTATATTTTTTTCTCCATTTAAAAAATAAAAATAAACAATAGACTTGATTTTTGACAATGAAAATACACATTATATCCATTCCAGAAAGTAAAATTGTATGACATATTTAGAATTCACAACGAATGGCAGTTGTTTATCACGTGTGTCTCGACTTGGGTTTCTTAATTTTCAAACAAGCTTTCGTATGGTGGCATATTTCTGCCATCCACTTGCGACTTACGAGTTACGTATGTCGACATAATTATTGAAAGATGTCGACATAATCTGAGAATATGTCGACATAATCTGAGAAGATGTCGACATAACTTTTAAATTATGTCGACATATTATCACATTTGCCGAGATAATTTTGCCGAGATAATTATCTCGTAAGTGGGTAACTCGGCTTTTTATCGTGTTAATGCTCGGGTGTGACATCGACTTACGACTTGCCACTTACGACTTATTTATGTAAAATCCCTCTTTGATTGATAAACTCTGTACATCATAGTAACCTACTGTAATATCCATATCTTTGATTTCCCATATTTACATTGATTTTACCAAGTTACTCACCAGTATAGTCACCACTGTTCAGTCACCATCAGCCCACCTTCGCGGTCCTCGTGCACAAGCCTCGTTTTGGTAAGTCGGCAATAATCTACTAGGATGTCGACATAAATAAGTCGTAAGTGGCAAGTCGTAAGTGGCAAGTCGATGTCACACCCGAGCATTAACACGATAAAAAGCCGAGTTACCCACTTACGAGATAATTATCTCGGCAAAATTATCTCGGCAAATGTGATAATATGTCGACATAATTTAACAGTTATGTCGACATCTTCTCAGATTATGTCGACATATTCTCAGATTATGTCGACATCTTTCAATAATTATGTCGACATACGTAACTCGTAAGTCGCAAGTGGATGGCAGAAATATGCCACCATACTTTCGCCAGATTTTCGTTCGCATTCGAAAATTCACCATCTTCCTATCATACTTTTGTATGGTTTGTGAAGTTTTTAGCGTCGATGTTTTACAAACGACGAGACTTTAGTGTAGCGATATGATTTTGTGGTTTGGTTTAGTTTAGTTTTGTTTAGTTTGGTTAACGTCCTATCAACAGCTATGGTCATTTAAGGACGACCTCCCCTGTGTTTTGGGAGGCTGCGATATGATCGTGTTTGTCTCCTTGTGATAGCGCGGAACCGATGCTGACTTCATAGTGCTACCTCACTGAAACATGCTGTCTAAGACACTCAGCAGGTCACCCCACCCAGTCACATTATACTGACAACGGGCGAACCAGTCGTCTCACTCCTAAATTGCTGAGCGTTAAGCAGAAGTAGAAACTACCATTTTTACAGACTAAGGTATGTCTCGACCAGGTGACAGAACCCAAAGCCTTCCTCACAGGGGCGAACGCTCAACTAAAGGCATTGTAAATGGAGACATTAGGAAGAAGAAAGTTGTTTAGAAAGAAGAGAAAAGTTAAGATCCAAAATTGAGTCGCATCTTACGATCACATAGATAGGCATAAATCATAAAGCTGGACGGCAATATCAAGCAGTTAAATAGCGCAACTCCCTATCCCACCCCTCCACCGCGGTTAGTGTTATTGCTGGGGGATGTCGTATATTTTAAGATAGTTAATATCTTAAAAGTCCAAGTCGGATGCTATGCACATGTATGCAACTCGCATCTTAAACGAAATAGCACAAGTTAAGGCTTAAAATATTATCAAATTAGTTCAGCGTGTGCTATAATCATTTGAAACGCCATTTCGGTTAAGACGTCTTGAAATACATTTAGCAAACAATATTTGTTCAATCGTTATGAAATTTCTCCTGCAAAATTATGTAGTGATCGGACAACAGCCGTACAAAAGTAATTGTACTCTAGGACTGTTCTTGCTCTTATAGAAAGACAGAAGATGAGACCTACACACAAATACAAATGTCAACATATCTTAGCAAATAAATAGTGCACACACATGGATTGAACAAGATTTTTTCAATGTTCATACCAGTATAAAAGCAAGTCGGTTACATACATATTCCTTGACGCCAGCTTATTATCTTGTTATGTTTATTAAATTTCCTACAATTTAGGTAGACGTTAAAAACAAATATGTGATTTACATTATTTTCCTAAACCCGTAGAGAGTGATTTTTGTCCTCGATTATAATATATCCATCATTGAAGAAAAAAATCGTGCAGTTTGTTGCTTAGAATAACTAGACCTTTTGTAAATATCCGACAACTTTTCTCTCTTTATCTTCTAAAATACAACAACCAAAACAATCACTCAGCATAAACAATCACTTTTATTTCAAATGAAATTCTAAAAGATTTCAACATGAACATTGAATTAACAACTGAATCACTATATCACAATCATTAAATATTTATTGTATTTCTATAAACGCAGTACTTTGCAAGACATTACCTAGACCTTTTTACTATGTCTATAAATAGACATTCTCTTGAAAATTCCTTTACCATATCAATCACTATACAATCATCTTTAGACCATTAACTTCGTCAATAATCAAACATTCATCTGGATACCTTTTGACTATGTCAATTAGCACATTGCCATGCTATATAAAAACGTTTCAAGAAAACCTGAATCGTCATTCAATATTACGTCGTCTGAAAATACATGAGTGCATCTGAAAAGTTTGCATCATCAATCAACATTACACCGTCTGAAAATAAATAAGTGCATCTGAAAATTTGCATCGTTAATCGACATTACGCCGTCTGAAAATAAATAAGTGCATCAGAATAAAAGTATATTACAGTTGTACAATTATTTGGTTTGCCATATCAGTCATGTATATTTAACCTAGATGTATTTAAACTATAACATATCCCAACCTTCAGCAGTTTAGAGTCAGAACATATCTATATTTGCCAAATACGCAACCTGACCACCAGCAGTTCCACATACAATATTAATGGACGGATATTAATTGGTTTTATACAAAGTAAACTGTATGAATGAAACTATTTCAAAGGTGCCTAGTTCATAGAATTATTTAGCGTCAAAATTGTGTATCGTGATAATTCACTTATGTATTGCCGTTATTTGCATTGTGCTTTTTGGTAGCGTTCTGTTTGTTTATTGTAATCTCGCCTTCTGGTAGTATTATAACTTTCTGTAAGGTCGTTGTTGTACTGTCTTGTCGTATCATCAAGCCATCCTTTAGTGTTGTGACTGTGTACTGTGATCATGCGATCTTGTAGTGTCATGACACGGTATTGTGATCAAGCTATTCAGAAGTGTCGTATTGTTAGTACTGTGATCATTCGATCTTGTAGTCATGGCACGGTATTGTGATCAAGCAATTCTGAAGTGCCATGATCTTTGAATTGCGATCATGCGATCTTGTAGTATTTTAACACCTTTGTGATCACGTAATTGTTTAGTGTCGTTATTATTCGGATTATGCTAATTTACCTTTGTCGCATCTTTGATTTGTGATCATGCAGTCCTGTAGGATCGATATTACATGTGTTTTAATTATGCGGTCTTTTAGGGTCGTATCTTGTTAGGCCGTAACTATATGTATAGTTATCATGCGGTGTTTTATGGTCGTATCTCCATGTATTGTGACTCTGCGAACATGTTAGGCCGTAACTATATGTATTGTGATCATGACGTCTTTTAAAGTCGTATCTATGTATGTATTGTGACTATGCGATCATGTTAGGCCGTAACTATATGCATTGTGACCATGCGGTTTTGAAGGGTTGTGACTGTATTCTCTGTATTGTGATAAAAAAGGGTACGAGTTCCAATAAAAAACGCACAAGATATAAGTTTCCCGCGATGCACATTGTATCAGGACACACGAACCGCACTCAATGACCTCTCGATCTTAAATAAGATTAAATAAAAAAGAATATTTATCAAGGTAACAAATCAAATCACTTGACTTTTTGGTAAATAGTGTTCTCAAGGATGTAATTTTGTCCAAAATACTCTCTAGTCGCCAAAACATTACTGATACCTAAAATGTCGATACTTAATAAATAATCATCATGCCAGCTTTCTATGACAGTAAATGACCACATACGTTTTTATGTTATTTCCGGAAATATTTTGTTAAGTATGCACTTCAACATTTATCTATTGTACTACATTGGTTCGTTTCAAAAGCCCGTGTAACAATTGAGGGAAAATGGTCAGCTTTACTGTAGCATAGAACATACTAAATTTCTCCGATCTACATCATAGGATAAATTTCCATATCATTTTCTACATGCAAGTTCCACAAATAGAAACAAAAAAAGGATTTCTGTTAGGAATGGTACAACTGATGCTGTTAATCAACAGATGACACATTCACAGGACTTGCAAGACTTATGATATAAAGTTTTGCCCAGCCCTTCTTCAGAACAAACAATATTCGCCCAGTGTTAAGTTTGCCCATCACATTCAATTACTACACACATGATGTTGTTAACTTATGTTTGCTGTAATGATAACTTCGCCTTCATAACGGTGGTCGAAAAGGCGAAAATGAAAGTGCAGCGAAAATTTCCCGGAATATAGTATATGTGTTTGAAAATATCCTTATACATCACCTTGATTTACACAAATAGTTTCTTATCCTTGTTATAACTAATATGAGATGTTAATTATTCAACGGCGGATTTCCTAACCCTCTATTCACTATTCATTTTGACTTATTTCCAAAAAATCATTTTTTCATAGTTACTGATTTGTGAGTGCATGCTAAACTGGAACTGCCAAGAAAAATAGCATTAAGACTAACACAAGAGTACCGCAATACGATGGTCAAATGCAGTTTGAAAAAAAAAACTATGTCAATCTAAGATTATCTATATCCTGGTATGTAGTACGCCTCTTCTCATGTTTCCTTTATATTCTATGTCACACAAATATGTACAACGGAAATTTCCGGTAGGTTTGATACATTGTCCTGTTTCCATCTTCCTTGTATCAGTTAGTATGGACTGTTGTCATTCCCTTCGACGGCCTCTCAGCATATGAACTTCTGGCGAGAGTTCCTTTTGACAGGTTCAAGCTCTTTCCACCTCGTGCATTCATTTCAAATATAGAATCGATCCGGTCCTTTTCCATGTATACGTTGGAGATCGAGTTGAGAAGTCTGTCGATACGGTCTGGGAATTCTTCGATCTTGCCATGGAGACTTTCCTGTTTGACCTTCCGGATGTCTTCTGGTTTCAGTGTACTTTTGTCAACCTTTCCGATTCCAGTCCATAATTTAAACCGACCGAGCATGAACTGAACGATTTCGTAATCATTGTTCTGTTTGTCGAGGTCGGCACGGACAGCACTGAAGGTCTCGTTGAGGATAGACAAAAACATGTTGACCACAATGAAAGTTATAGCCACAACGTATAAAAAGAGCGAGACCTGAGTGAGCACGGGATTCACTCTTAACATGCTATATATTTCAAATTTTCCCATCATCATAACAACACCGGACTCCAGAGCTGTAATGAACGTACTGAACGATTTGATGTGCGCAACGTAGATCAGGTAGAAGAACTGGATAAATGCAAGGAATACGATGTTGAAAATTATGCTAAAATGCATAAGATCTTTGCACGAGTGTTTCAGGGTTGAAGCCAGTAAGGACATCTTTTTGTTGAATCGCAACAACTTCAAAAACTTAAGTGTCCCAAAGAATACCAACCACCCAATGATGTAGCTGAATATTTCACTCCAGTAGCCAACATATTGGAACTTCATATACTCATTGCCGTGAGTGTGCTTGAACCGTTCAGTTAGAGTATTGGTTTTAACCAGCCGATAAAAGTACAACACCACTGCGGTCACCGACATTACGCAAATTCCTAATTCTATCAAATTCCAAAACTGTTTAAAGTATTTTATTTTCTCTCGAATTATTCCACGCACTTCATGTATGACGAAGTAAAGAGTGAAGAGGAGATATATGACCTCACAAGCAAGCTGGAAAAACATAACCGAGTTCATGTATGGCAGAAGTGTTGCAGGCTCAAATCGGTATGATGGAAAAATGCCATTACTTGGTCTGAATTCTGCTAGCAGAGTGGATATAGAAAAAAGATTCACACCTGGATTATAAACCGTGAACTCAACAAAAATAGCCCTTGTATACTTGTCAATCCATTTCTCCCTTTCTAACTGTTCCATCTTCATTTTGATGGAATTTGATGATCCTTTAAGTCTAACCAAATATCCACCTCCTGCATACAAAGCCATCTGGCCCCAGTATGGATAACCGTTTAGTTCCTCAGCTGAAGTGTACATGTATTCTTCTCTTGTAACATCAGAGGAGTTGCCATACATAGGCGTCCAGCCTACTTGGTACTCACCTTCGTCCTGGTTTAAAATAGTATATTCTCCATTGCATTCTGGTATCACTCTCGCGATTTCGTCAGCTATACGACAAGTATCTGAAAATGATTAATAAAACATTGCATGTCAGATGATAATATAAAAGAAATAAGCCTCCATAAGTCAGGTAAATATTGAGAATTACACTTCTATAAGCATCGCTACAATGTAGATAAGCTGTCACATGTATGCTTTCGTTAGTGATAAGTGTTAGAGAAGCAGTCCGGCAAGGTGAAAATGTTCAAGTGGTTAAATTTGACAGAAGACATGTTGTTGTGATGATTTGTCCAGAATAACACAAGGTCTAATAATCAGTGAAAACACCAAATATCAGACGGGACTGCTACTTATTATATAGCTTTTATTATAGTTTATTTAATTTTTATTCACAAAAAACCGTCCCTTTACCGTTTAACTAATTAAATCAGACCACAAAATAAATTAAACAAGAAAGAACAGGTTTCATGTAGGCTCAACCGTTTTGCATTGTAAATGTTTAACGAGGTAATTACCTTTTTTGCTGCGAAGCTGTCTCATTGTGGCGTAACCCATAAGTCGTGAAACTTTGTCGTTTATGTATCCTCTTAGAAACAAGGGGTGGTCGTCGTTATACCATTTGTTCGCACGTATACCTGTTGCCAATCCAGTTTTTGCCCACGTCCAGAAGTTTTGCACATTTGTTATCTAAAACGAACAGGTATATCAACTTCATTGATTTTGCAACAATTACAAAACTAGTGTTTTCAACTAGTATCAGTCGCTCTTAACTATATGGTTCGTATTGATCAAGACAGGCAAGCAATTGTTCAGTAGTGTATGCATAGTATGAAGGAGGACAAGACATCTTTACTCTGTATCCCCATTAAATAGAAAATGTACAGTTGTTTTTGAAGCCAATTTGAAGTAACTTGTATATGAAACAAGATGTGTTTCAAGGTCATTTATATGTGTCACATGATTTGTTTTAAAGAAACTTGGATATGTATTTTGATAAGGTACCTTATATTATGGTGTTGTTTAATGGTGTTACCTTTTCGAACTTATGATTCGTGTCATTCGTTATGATGAAGACTTGTTCCATGCTGAACTTGTACAGATACGAGTTCGTACTTCGGTTCTGGTAGCTAATAACCATGAGTATCCATACGAAAAACGAATAAAAGATGATCTCTCTTATGACCGCCCACATCTTGATTTCTTTCATGCGCACTGCCCTTGCCTTTTCTAGAAGTTGGTTATCAGCAGGTACGTAGGAGGCCTTCTTCGGTTTGGCTGCTCCCATACCTACGACATTGTTCATTACAAAAAAAAATGACAGGCAACCATTTTTTAAAAGTGTCTTAAGACTGTTTCAAATGAGGAAATATTAGAAGCTATTTTATAGCTTACCAATTTTAAGATAAACACAAATTGAAACGCCGTAATGAATAACTACTTTATCTATTCATATCCACTTAGATAGAGTAGATATCAATATCTATCTCAAATTTCATAAATGCTAGCTTGTTTCCCGATTTCTTGGATATCAACTATAATTTAGAGACAGCACATTTACCGAACTCGTCCATATGTAAGTATTCCTCGTCAGTAGCCAGGTTCTTGGGTTTTTCTTCGTCATCTGCTTCTTCATCTTCATCTCCTCCGGGGTTTTTGATTATGAGAGAGAAAAGGATCGCAACAGCAAACACCTGCATATTTAAATTAAAACAGAAGTTAGTCCGAATTTTTCTGACGTTTTATCGTCTTTTTTTTTATATCGGTCTGTCGTCGATTAACGTCAGAACTCCGGCCCTTTATAATATGCGGGAAATAAGCGACAAGCGCCAGGGTCGCTCTTCCAACTGATATTTAAGAAACAAATCGTCACTTTCACACACATGTCGCACTTGTATCGAAAGATCTATTCTTTATGCACTAGGTGGTATCAAAAGCATGTTTCAAAGATCATTACGAACAGTATTTTCCAACGTTTTCTATACCAACCCATGTTTTTAATGGAAATTAAGGCATGAGCCATGTCACATGACTTTACGAGATCTCGCGTTACCGAAGGTATTTCCCAACGTTATGACGTAGGCCGTCGAGATTTTAGTCAAGTGGCATTAGAAGGCGGGGCTATCAAAAACGTAAAGTAAAACAGAGTAAGTTTGAAAAAATATGTTTTTAGTGATTGTATTTGTTGTTTGAGGCATGTTATGGATGTTCATCTTGTGAATAAAGAATAGATCTTTCGATCCATGTGCGACAGTGTGTGGAAGTGACGATTTGTTTCTAAAATATCAGTTTGAAGAGCGACTCTGGCGCGGCTCGCTTATTTCCCGCATATTATAGAGTGCCGGAGTTCTGACGTTAATCGACGATAGACCGATATAAGAAAAAAGTCGATAAAACGTCAGAATAATTCGGACTAAACAGAAGTATGGAATACAGGAATTACTGTTTTTGGGGCTCGTCAGCACATAAATCAGCATTAATGTTAATGTGGGATGAAAACGTAATACTCGGAGAAAAACCCACGTGGTCGGGCAGGTGACCCAATACCAAGTCCGGTCGGGGAATCAAACCCCGTTCGTCTTGGTGAAAGGCGAGTATCCAATGCACAAGTCATACAACATTAAATTGTGTGTGTGTGTGTGTTAAACAGTAGTTACTAATAGATTTGATGTTAGGAAATAGATCTTATAAATGGTGAGATAGCAGGACCTACCTTTATTGGCTGTGTAATGAAAACAGAGGTAAAGAAAGATATCAACATTGATGTGATCCATTGTTTGCATTTGACGTCTTGGAACATCACTCCGTAGAACGTAACGAAAGCGGCGGAAACGAGGACTGTTAACCATAATAAAATCCAAGCAATGATGGTAAAAAACCACGGAAACTCAAACTTCTTCTTCTTGTTCTTGCTATCCTTGGGTACGTCAGCAACAGACAAAGACGTGTAGGCACGAGACATGGACGTATCTGGGCGTTTTCCACTTTCTATTAGCATGGAGGAGCTCACTCCCGAGGTGTTAGCACTCTTCAGTCTAGGGTTGACATCCGTCATTGACGCTGTGGTTTGGGTACTACTCTTGATGGCTTCCTCTACACGAGACGGTCTCTTGCTTCGTGGTTTAGAGCGGCGGAATATATAGACAATCAGAAAGTTGACAGGGAACACTATAATGTTGCACAGAACACCGATGTATACCTATGAAAAAATACAAAGCAGTATCATATGAGTGCAAAATATCACATACCAAGGCAAAGTATTGCAAGGCAATCCAAAGTCCCCCATCGGTAACTATTTCTATATTTAACAAACAGTACACTTATGTCAAGATGTAAATACTGTTCAAAGCATAGGTCACAGTGAGGTCATAGTGCCTACTACTTGCACTCGCCATCCTAAGATGTCCTTGTACACCAAATCTGGTTACTCCAATTGAAATAGTATAGAAGATATGCCCGGACAAACGTTTATAAAAGTAAAGGTCAAAGGTCAAGTCATATGTCACAGTGACCGAATTTTTGTACTCTGCACTCCACCATCCCAAGATGTCCTTGTATGCCAAAACTTGTTAATACAGGCGAAATAGTATAGACGATATCCGGACAAACGTTTTCAAAAGTTAAGGTGAAAGGTAGCATAGGTCACAGTGAGGTCACAGTGACCTAATTCTTGCACTTTGCGCTCTACCATCCCAGGATGTCCTTGTACACCAAATCTGGTTACTCCAGGTGAAATAGTATAGAAGATATGCCACGGACAATTTTCTTGAACGGAAGGATGGACCTATAGTCCCCCCGGGAAACCGGTGTGGGACTAAAACCAGACTGCTTTATCTTAATTTGATCAACATTTTCTGTGTAAAACCGAATACCATAATTACTTTTGTGAAAATTGAGTCCCATAATTTCTGTTGTAAATGAAATGAAATGGTGGAAATAGTATTTAAAACGGTTTAAATGCAATAATCAGTAAAGCCACAACATACATTAGATAAAAAAAAGTCCCAGTAAAGACACGATAACACGAAAATACATTAGCTGGAACGAAGGCTCTTTTTTCTTATTCAGGGGTGTAGAATATAAAAATTCCACCTGAGAAGTCTTCAAATTATGTAAAGCCATAAGATTGCCGAGAGTAATCCGACGAAATGAAAAGCCCGAAGGTGGACCTTCCATATCCTATACTCCAGAACAAATCTCCTATTTCAACTGTCGGAAATAGAACAGAAAGCAAGAAAAGATGTTTTAACGGGCTACTATTTTGAAAATATCAAATGCTTCTATTTTGTCGAAAATAAATAAGAAATAAATAAACAAGTACTAATTGTAATGGGGGACCATCACAGATGTCCCCCAAACTGCCCCCATAGTCGCAAAGATGCATCAGTAAAGGTTTCGCAATGCCATACTACACTAACAATATACATACTAAATTTGAGTGACATCGCACAATTTATGAATTGCAACCAATCAGAAGTGACTGTGTGGTTGCTATTGCAACGATACCTATACGATTGAATTCGCAGTCCCCATATACCCCTATATACCAATTGTAATCAAAATCGAACAATATCTAAATTTCGACCAATCAGAAGCATCCCTGTGGTTGCTATGATAACAAATTATATGCGGTTTTATTCGCAGTCCCCTTATACCCCTATATACTATTATTTATTAAATCGAACAATATCTAAATTTCACCCAATCAGAGGCTAGGAATTGGCAGCCATTTTGTTTAATCACAAAACGAACACCACAGTTGTACTTGTAGTGTCTTACTACACCTATGCAATAAATTTCATCCAAATCGGACAGTATTTACATTTTGACCAATTAGAGGAAAAACAATGGCGGACATTTTGATGAAATGTGAAATCTAAGCTACGGAAGTGATCATTGTCCTATGAAGTACCTACATACTTAATATGATCAAAATTGGACAATATCTAAATTTTGACCTATCAGAGGTCAGGAAATGGGGGCAGAGTGATCAAATTTGATCAAAATTGGACAATATTTAAATTTCGACCAATCAGACCACAGGAAATGGGGGCCGAGCGATCGTTGTCGCATGATTCACCTACATACCAAATTTGATCGAAATCGGACAATTTTTGAATTTCGACCAATCAGAGGTCAGGAAATGGCGGCCATTTTGTTTAATCACAAAACATATACAACTGCGGTGTTTGTTTGTTTAATCACAAAACAAACACCGCAGTTGTATTCGTAGTGCCATACTACACCTATGCACCAAATTTTATCCAAATCAGACGGCGGCCATTTTGTTGAAATATGAAATCTAAGCTATAGAAGTGATCGTTGTCCCATGATTCACCTACATAACAAATTTGATCGAAATCCGACAATATTTAAATTTCGAACAATCAGAGGTCAGGAAATGGCGGCCATTTTGTTATATCACAAAACAAACCCGCAGTTGTTTTGGTAATGCCATACTTAACCTATATACTAAATTTCATCAAAATCGGACGATGTCTAAATTTCGACCAATCAGAGGCCGCCGTCCTGCTGAACAGTCGGATGACCGTTGGAAAAAATATTCTTGCGCACCACCTGTCATACACGAACACTCATGTGAAGTTTCATTGAATTCCGCCCTACGGTTTTCGAGAAAAATGTCGGAAACCTCCTCGGCGGAAGAAAGTGGAAGAATTAAAAATAATAACTTTGTTTGTGGGACATACTTAACCCAATTCGACAAAATCTGTTCATGCAGAAAAAATAACATCTTACTGACTTGTACGATTGATAAAAAGTAACAAGTCAGCAGATTCCGAATCGCAGCATGAGATATTTGCATTACGCACGTGAAAGAAGGGGTGTAAGATTTCTTAGGTCCCGTTTACGAACGTGAAAGAAGAAGTGAACAATTTCTTAGGTCCCGTTTTTGCCATGGAAAGCTATATCATAAACGCAAAAGATTGACAGAAATATGTACGTACTTGTGTAGGAGACAAGCTAAAAGGTCCAAAAGTGAATGAGCTTCCAGAATCAGCAGCAGCGTTTTCGTAAAACATGGCATTGGACAGCATGGTGACGTAGAGTAGACAGAGGCAGCAGGATACTCGCTGAACACGTGTGAAGCGGCTCTGAGGCGGACGAGCCACAACGGAGAACCATAGGTGACCATCATTCAGATTCTTCGTCGTCTTTTCGGCGAACAAATGACCAAACTCGGTCATTTGTTCCCTGCCGGCTACAGCGATGATGCGATCAATCTACATGACATAAAATCAAGATAACAGTTAAGCAAACCCAATGATATATTAACTACTTGTCTGTTAACTATGAAGATGTTCTGTACGTATGCACTAATCAACTCTTGATATTTGGTTATTTTCTGACAAATAATTTGTTCTTTAGTAGTGTTAAGCTGTTATTGGATCAATACTTAAAATGAAATTAAAAATCTTAAACCGAAGTTACATTTCCACCATTGTTTGAATTTATCCAAGTCACCTTCATTCAAGCTAAAGTGGGTTGTTGTGAAATATTTGGATCAATGGGATACGTTTGTATAGACAATGGTTAACGTATCACTACAAATATGGCTCCATGTTTGGACAAGCGGATAAGTGGTGACTATTATTCGTTTCATCACACACATACTCGCAGGACTTTATATTGCTTTTCGCAGAGATAAATCTGCTATTCAACAGATGTATAAATATTCTTAATAATCGGAAAAAAATATCTAGATATGGTTCCAAGGTAATTTTATTGATATGGTATTTTTCTTTTCAGCACGTGGCAGATTAACAAAAGAATATCATTGCAATGTTGACACATTGATCCGACTTGTTGAGATATACACGGAGCTAAATGTTCATTAAACAATCTTCAAACAACAGTTCCAAAAGTAAAACTCTTGATAAGAGTAGGTATTTTTATAATTTTTCATCGATCCTTTTTCTAGGATATCAAAAAGACCGTCTCGTGTTGAGCGTACCATTCCGTCACCTTCCTCCACAGCAAACCACTTGTCGTTGATGAAGATGAACTTGTCGTCCGTCTGTACGTCCCGTACCACCATTGACGACATGTACCACGACGCTGTGTTACCCTTGCCGGAGTTGTCATGCCAGATATGTACGTAGTTCAGTGGACCAAGGGGTCTGTAACGAAATAAAAGGTATTTAGAAAACAATATACCATCCCTAATTGCTGGCCTTCTGATTCAATCGTACAGTAAGTTCAGCAGTGCATACGTGTAAACATGAAAAGTGTGTGATGTGACATAGGATTGCATAATTTAACGGATGATTGGGGATGGAACAAATTGAACGGTTTTAAGGATGTACACCTCTGAGAAGTAAAACAAAACCTGTATTAAACTTTTTTTCTTATATGGATTTTTTTTGGAAAAAGGAGTTAATGGCCTAGTAGAAAATGCTAAAGATTTTTTTTTATTAATCTAACACAATATGTGATTTTTGGTGATAACTTTGGTTTTTACCATTTGCAGAACAAATTCATACAATTTCTTCCAAGTGTGTTACAAGATATGTATGAATGTTTGTAGAATTGGTAAAAATATTATTTTCTTTTAAATTATGGAAGTAACATTTCTTAATCTTATTCTTTTAACTCAGAAAGGCAATTTAAGTTACCCCTACTCCTTATATTTTAATGAACATTTTTTCACCTTTTGTTTGGCAGGATAAACGCTTGATATTAAACAGTTCTGCAATTAAACATTTTTTTAATATTAAATGAATCAAAGGAAAATGTGTTTCTCTTTTTAAAACAGCCACAAAAATGGGCGGTCCGTGTGCTTCTTTTTTGTCCCATTATTATTTGTGTTATTTTTCACCTTTTTTCAGGGTCAAAAATCAAAAGGGCTTCAGTTTCACTAAACATGCAAAAAAGATACCAATAAGGTATATTTTCCACTTTGTTGCATATTGTTTTTATCATATTGGACATTAAAAAGTTGTACAGCAAAATTGAACCTGCTACAATTAAAAATGGCGACACAATGACAATTCAAGTGATCAATATATAAATGTTGGCCATTTGTGAAGCCCTAGAAATACACATTAATACACATTTTAAAAATGTCCGCCGAATTACTTCGGTCTTTTTTAAAATATCTTGTAAAAAAAGTTCTACAAACAACAGACATCTAGTTTTTGACATATTTTTCAGATGCGTGTTTGCTATTAAACTTGATAATAATTTGTTAAATATTACAAAAACCCGTTACACCAGATCAAAACGAGACTTGAACGTGATTTAAACCTCAGAAGAGTACATCCTTAAAAAAACCTGGACGGTTCCGAAACAGTGCATAACATTATAAACAACCAGTTTTGAATGTCTGGGGTCTGCAATTCCATAGAAATAGTACTCCTCAAGGTTTTCGTGATAAATGTACGTACCGTTTTACAGCCAGGAGAAAGCCATCCACTCCTCCACGCTTGAACACTTTGCGTTTGTCGTCAGATAAACAACGAACTTCCGTTTCTTCAAGATCTCCCGAAAGTATAAAATTTACCTAAAGCAACAACATGTTGACATAGAAATAAAGAGGAAAAAACAGGAAATCCGTTTAATAACACCATATTTAGATAGCAATAAAGAGTAAAAATACAAGGTTATCTGTTAAATCAGAATAAGAGGATGAACCATAGTACGTCTGTGAAAATCACAAAAAAGGGTATTAGAAAAAAACCAATACAAGGATTCATACAAATGAGTGTATACCTTTGAGTTAGTGCCAGCGTTCCTCCGCATGCCGGTCACTACTACGATTTCATAGTAGTACTTATCTACCACGTCATTGTCAACTAGCGGTGTAAGTCCAAGCTGAAACAGGAATAAACATTGTGTAAAACCCCACATATACTGTATCAATATAAACTATATTAAAAAATAAAACACAAATATACATAAAGTACCCTTTAACATAACCCAATATCCAGAAATAAAAAACTACACAAAGAAAATCTCGAAATATATATAGTATCCCGAGAGAAACATATATAATATCGAAAAAAATACACACGTATAACATTCTGAGACAAACACGTTTATGGCGCCAAATGAAAGATAACTTGTCTCTCAGTGTACATTTGCCGTTACGATCAACGTCAACTTGACGCTCTCATTATACATTTGACGTTAAGATCAACGTCATTTTGACATCACTTTTGTATGCCCAATATTTTTTGTTTCGGCGCGAGTAGTCCAGAAAAAAATCCAGTTCATGAAATATTACAACTTAATGGATCACGAAAACGTTTTGTTTGTTTGTTTTTTATTTGCTTTCCGATTTTCAGTTCTTGATACAAACATAAACATTAAGCATAGTATTATTTGATTTCAAGAAAATAGAAAACACAATTCATTGGCCATTGCTGTCAGTACCTTCTCCACATCCTTTTTGTCCTGTCGTCTTGCCCAAATGGCGGCGACTATGTAGACGGCAGCTATCACCATTTCCGTGATATACAGAGTAGGATTCTTGAAGAAGTCCATGTTAGAGAATACAAAGTTCCAGTCGATAGTATTGGGCGCTACAGCCCAGTCGCCCGTGAACGTCGTCAGATGAGAACACAGGCAGTTTAACATACTCTTGGTCGTTTTCTCAGTAGTCTAGAAATATAACAGACATTGGTATTTAATAACAGTCAAAAAATATTTAAATATCCAAGACTGCGTGAATACTCTATAAAAATCTTAATTTCTTTTAGAAATATTTTGTTTGACTGGATTAAAAAATGTTGTTCAATAGTTTATTTTTTAAACGAAAACTGCATATTTTCTTGTTTTAGTTTTCTGGTCTAATGAATACATGACATTTTTGCTACGCCAAACCTTTTGATGGATTGAAGTCCTATCAAATTGATCAAGTATAAAATAGGAACCTTTAAGTGCTACATTCTTTACCATCAGTATTAAATACTATGAATTATATTATAATTATATAATTGAGTATAAGCAATGAAACCATGTTTCTCTAAGACTTATATGTTGTATTGAGTCCTCAGTCCAATTATTTACCGAGCAGCCGTTTGCTTCCCATCTGTTAGTTGTGGTATTGACATACAGACAATTTGCCTGGCTGATTGATACATTGTATTCAAAGGTAAAATTCGAGGACACTTTCGAGTAATCCTTCGGGAGGTCGGCTACGAAGCGGTACTTATCTCGCTCCGAAGGTAACATTTGTCGAACTCCAAAATACAGTTTTCCTTTGTATCCACGAAGCATGTCCGTGGTTATCGAACACGTCATCGAGGCTTCGTCTGTTTCATTATCTACAAATAAAACGTTACAATAAAACCAGATTAGTAATAACTAAATCAGTTCTCAGTAAAATAACGAAATGGGTGCAAAAAAACATCAAAATATATTAACGATATTTTACTTTTTGACAATAATAATAAAAAAAAGGTTTTGAAATGCCAAATGTATGCGCCACTTTTTTTGTATTGCACACTCGACAACATTTACAACCCTACTGTGGATTCAGTCGAAATACGCCAAAGAGTTGAAAACGGAAATCATTATCGGACAGTGTATTTTTTTGAACATGATAGCAAAATAAAAAGCAAAAGAAAAACGTAGTAAGAAAGACTCTATCTAGACGTTTTCTATTAACTCGATGCAAAAAAGCAAGGCAAACATATACTCTACCATATGGTCGAATCTTAGCCACAGCCTAAACATTAATTTTTGAAATAGTATTTTTTGTAAACGTACTTACACCGCCTTCGACTTAATTTCATTCACCTATTCACAGTTAATTTCCAGTAATTTTGATGAACACGGACAGTAATTTTAATGATAAGAATACTAATTCGAGGTTCTTATATACCGCTTTATCACAAACTAGTTCGTAGGTCAAAGCGGTTCACAAATTATTGTCCGTGTTTATAGGGCCTTTGCAACCAGTCAATATATTTCCCAACTCCCTTAGAAGCATACAGCCGGTGCTGATATACGGCGATCACAGCTAGCTTTCAACATTTCTAGCACTGCCCTACCACGTTCTCATTTACAGCTGAGTAGGCTGGAACAAGCGAAGTAAAATATCTTTCTCAAAGATACAACACAGTGCCATACCGTGACTCGAACCCGCAACCCTTCGGTCACAAGCCCGGCGTCCTACCACTAGACAACCGTGCCTCCACCAAAAAATTGTTCATAGTATTTCTTGCCATGCACATATTTACTACTTTGATAAGTGGGATGGTGCCTTAGTGTAGTTTTGTTTGGACATTCAATATATATATCTATAAAAAGCAGAACACTTCTGACTTTTTATAAGAGAACAGTCAATCATTTTAAAGTCAGTTTATGACACGAGTTCCTTTTAGAGATCAAAGGACAAAAATGCCACAAAGATACGGATACAAATACTTACACCTATTTGGTACCATACAGACGTGGTCAATTTCTCCTGTTGTGATGTTCGGAAACCCCCCGGCTCGGACTACTACAAGAAGCTGTTCAGATTCCATAAACTCAAACACCGCCTGTACTGCAGCCCGCTCCTTGGTGACCACAATAAAGGTGAAATAGAAGTCGTTTCCGGGCTGGATGAACGGTGCTTGATGGTCTGATGGAGGGTTGTATGCAGTTGGATCCCTAACAATGCTGATCTCGAACCGTTCTTTAGCGTTAGTCACACTCATCTCCTGGTTGTTTTCGTCGTATAAACTGATGCTTAATATGCCGATGTCATGGTTCAGTGGCTCTGATCCAGGAATTAAACCTGGGACTTTCCAAACTGATGTCATAGCCTTAGAACAAAAATTAGTCTATTAGAGGTAAGCTCACGTACAAAGTCGTGTATCTTCATTACAAGATAAATTCAAATGACTTCCTGAAAATGGCTTATAGTGCAGTGTTGGCAGCAAAACTTCTGCACACAGACATCATGTCATTTTACTTTTTATCTTAATGCCTATTGCAACTTTGAGTTTTTGAAAAAAGCAATACCGACATTCATCCAATAGTTTTTACCCCTTCAAATTACAAAGTTGCTTTGTTTAAAATACTAGACTGTAGATTGTTTATGACCTAAAAGATTGTCATTTTGAGAACAAGACAACTTTGTAAATTCATATCTGTTAACAAGAACTTAAAAAATTGATTTTACCTTAAAAGACAGAACGGTGTTACTTTTCAGATTAGGAAAGATTTTGCTGTAGTCTGGAGGTTTGAACTCTGCTCCTCCAAGAGATAATTTGGCCCCGGAAAGGTTTTCTAAACTATTCTTTTCGTAACGGACCGCGTATGTCTTGGCTTTAATAACTATGGGATCGTCCTTAGGATTGAGCCCATCAAGCATGAGCTTGTCGATTTTCTGTACAATCGCGCTGGATTTTGTCTCGAGTTGACCTGCCTAAATCAAGAAAAAAGGAGTAAACATAATTCATTTTGAAGTTTTAACCAAAACTGTAAACAATCATCCAATGCATTACAACTCCGGAAAAAATTAAAAAATAGGTTCTGATGAGACAGTGTTTATACAGTGACTGCAGGTTCTAATGAGACAGTGCTCATACATAAACTGTAGGTTCTTATGAAACAGTGATCATACCGTGACTGTAGGTTCTGATGAGAAAGTGTTTTTACAGTGACTGAAGGTTCTGATGAGGCAGTGTTTATAAAGTGACTGTAGGTTCTGATGAGACAGTGTTTAAACAGTTGCTGTAGGTTCTGATAAGGCAGTGTTTATACAGTGACTGTATGTTCTGATGAGGCAGTGTTTAAACAGTTGCTGTAGGTCCTGACGAGACAGTGTTCATACAGTGACTCTAGGTTCTGATGAGACAGTGTCCATACAGTGACTTTAGGTTCTGATGAGACAGTGCTCATACAGTAACTGTAGGTTCTGATGACACTGAACATACAGTGAATGAAGGTTTTGATGCGACAGTGCTCATACAGTGACTGTAGGTTCGGATGAGACAGTGCTCATACAGTGACTGTAGGTTCTGATGAGATAGTGCTCATACCGTGACTGTAGGTTCTGATGAGACAGTGTTTTTACAGTGACTGTAGGATCTTATGAGACAGTGCTTATGCAGTGGCTGTAGGTTCTGATGAGACAGTTTTCATACCGTGACTGTAGGTTCTGATGAGACAGTGTTTTTACAGTGACTGTAGGTTCTTATGAGACAGTGCTTATGCAGTGACTGTAGGTTCTGATGAGACAGTTATCTTACAGTGACTGTAGTTTGTAATGAGACAGTGATCATAAAGTAACTGTATGTTCAGATGAGACAGTGCTCATACATCGACATTAGGTTCTGATGGGACAGTGCTTATACATTGAATGTATGTTCTGATGAGGCAGTGCTGATACACTGACTGTATGGTCTGAGGAGACAGTGATCATACAGTGACTGTATGGTCTGATGAGACAGTGATCATACAGTTACTGTATGTTGTGATGAGACAGTCCTCTTCAAGTGATTGTAGTTTGTAATGAGACAGTGATCATACTGAGACTGTATGTTCAGAAGAGACAGTACTCATACAGTGAGTGTATATTCTGATTAGACAGTGATCACACAGTGACTGTATGTTCTGATGAGACAGTGTTTATACCGTGACTGTAGGTTCTGATGAGACAGTTCTCATACAGTGAAGGTAGGTTCTGATGAATCAGTGCCCATACAGTGACTGTAGGGTCTGATGATACAGTGCTTATATATTTACTGTAGGTTCTGATGAGGCAGTGATCAACTGTAACTGTATGTTCCGATGAGACAGTGATCATACAGTGACTTTAGATTCTGATGAGGCAGTGTTTATTCACCGAATGATTTGTTAAGAGACAATGTTCATACAGTGGCTGTAGGTTCTGATGTGACAGTGCTCATACAGTGACTGTATGTTCTGATGAGGCAGTGCTCATACACTGACTGTAGGGTCTGACGAGACAGTGTCCATACCGTGACTGTAGGTTCTGATGAGACGTTGATCATACAGTTACTGTATGTTCTGATGAGACAGTTCTCATCAGTGATTGTAGGTTCTAATGAGACAGTGTTCAAACATTGACAGTAGGTTCTGATGAGGCAGTGCTCATGCAGTGACTGTAGGTTCTGATGAGGCAGTGCTCGTACAGTGACTGTATGTTCTGTTGGGACAGTTTTTATACAGTTACTGAATGTCTGATGACACAGAGCTCATTAAGTGACTGTATGTTCGGATGAGACAGTGCTCATACAGTGACTGTAGGCTCTAATTAGACAGTGCTCATACAGTGACTGTAGGCTTTGATGAGGCAGTGTCTATACAGTTACTGTATGTTCTGATGAGACAGCGCTCATACAGTTAAAGTAGGTTCTGATAAGACAGTGCACATACAGTGACTAGGTTCTGATGAAGAAGAGTTTTTACAGTTACTGTATGTTCTGATGAGAAAGTGTTTCTACAGTGACTGTAGGTTCTGATGAAATAGTGTTCATACCGTGATTGTAGTTTCTGATGAGACAGTGCTCATAAAATGACTGTATGCTCTGATGAGACAGTGCTCATACAGTGACTGTAGGCTCTGATGAGACAGTGCTAATACAGTGACTGTAGGTTCTGATGAGGCAGTCTCTATATAGTTACTGTATGTTCTGATGACACAGAACTTATACAGTGACTGTAGGTTCTGTTGAGACAGTGCTCATACCGTGACTGTAAGTTCTGATGAGGAAGTGTTTATACAGTGGGTGTATGTTCTGATGAGACAGTGTTTATACAGTTACTGAATGTCTGATGACACAGAGCTGATACAGTGAATGTAGGTTCTGATGAGAAAGTGTTCATACCGTGACTGTAGGTTCTGATGAGACAGTGAATGTATGTTCTGATGAGGCAGTGCTCATACAGTGTCTGTATTTTCTCACGAGACAGTACTCATACAGTGACTGTAGGTTCTGATGAGACAGTGCTCCTACAGTGGCTGTAGTTTATGACGAGACAGTGATCACACAGTGACTGTAGGTTTTGATGAGACAGTGAGGATACAGTGACTGTAGTTTGTAATGAGACAGTGCTCATACAGTGACTGTAGGTTCTGATGAGACAGTGCTCATACAGTGACTGTAGGTTCTGATGAGACAGTGCTCCTACAGTGACTGTAGGTTGGGGTGAGACAGTGCTCATACAGTGACGGTAGGTTCTGATGAGGCAGTGCTCATACAGTGACTGTAGGTTCTGATGAGACCGTGCTCATACAGTTACTGTATGTTCTGTTAGACAGTGTTCATTTATTGACTGTAAGTTCTGATGAGGTATTGCTCATACAGTGACTGTAGGTTCTGAAGAGATAGTGTTCATACACTGACTGTATGTTCTGATGAGATAGTGTTCATACAGTGACGGTAGGTTCTGATGAGATAGTGTTCATACAGTGACGGTAGGTTCTGATGAGACAGTGCTCATACACTGACTGTATGTTCTGATGAGACAGTGTTCATTTAGTGACTGTAGGTTCTGATGAGGCATTGCTCATACGGTGACTGTAGATTGTAAAGTGGCGATGATCATAAAGTGACTGTATGCTCTGATGAGACAGTGCTCATACATTGACTGTATGTTCTGATGAGACAGTGTTAAACCTACTTTACCGATATATCTACATACCACTTCATCCTGCTGATCCTCACTAGTAAATATTAACAGCTGTGCAAACGCATCCTTAGGGTCATCTATATCGTCCGAAATAGCTGAAATGGATTCAAACTATTAGATTATTTATTGATACTATCCGTTATTCTATCAGTCTTAAATAGAAGGTGCTAAATCAAGTTATGTATAGACACAAATTTTGTCATCATTAACAAATTTGTTTTTTCAGGAAATTGGCTTCTTTAGTAACAGCTGAAATATTTTAATTTTTCTTTTAAAAGAGAAATATGAACAATTATATGTAGTGCAATGATAGAAAAACAACATACCACATAATCAACGAAGTGCGAAACAGAAAAAGCCCGGCCCGTGCCAAATTGACTTAATTAAAATCCATCTGACCCTGTCGTTCTTTTATAGTACCAAGTTACTTAATTAAGTTGATTTTTTTCTTGAAGAAAACATTGTACTTTGCATACTTAAGATGAAAAATGAAATTATATACATACATGTATATCTATATACCTCAAATATGCTTTTGTTCACGACGTAAGAAGAATTTCGCCTTTAACAGAGTGTACAGGTATATATCACATCACCCTAAACAGAGTGTACAGGTATATAACACATCACCCTAAACAGAGTGTACAGGTATATATCACATCACCCTAAACAGAGTGTACAGGTATATAACACATCACCCTAAACAGAGTGTACAGGTATATATCACATCACCCTAAACAGAGTGTACAGGTATATAACACATCACCCTAAACAGAGTGTACAGGTATATATCACATCACCCTAAACAGAGTGTACAGGTATATAACACATCACCCTAAACAGAGTGTACAGGTATATATCACATCACCCTAAACAGAGTGTACAGGTATATAACACATCACCCTAAACAGAGTGTACAGGTATATATCACATCACCCTAAACAGAGTGTACAGGTATATAACACATCACCCTAAACAGAGTGTACAGGTATATATCACATCACCCTAAACAGAGTGTACAGGTATATAACACATCACCCTAAACAGAGTGTACAGGTATATATCACATCACCCTAAACAGAGTGTACAGGTATATAACACATCACCCTAAACAGAGTGTACAGGTATATATCACATCACCCTAAACAGAGTGTACAGGTATATAACACATCACCCTAAACAGAGTGTACAGGTATATATCACATCACCCTAAACAGAGTGTACAGGTATATAACACATCACCCTAAACAGAGTGTACAGGTATATATCACATCACCCTAAACAGAGTGTACAGGTATATAACACATCACCCTAAACAGAGTGTACAGGTATATATCACATCACCCTAAACAGAGTGTACAGGTATATAACACATCACCCTAAACAGAGTGTACAGGTATATATCACATCACCCTAAACAGAGTGTACAGGTATATAACACATCACCCTAAACAGAGTGTACAGGTATATATCACATCACCCTAAACAGAGTGTACAGGTATATAACACATCACCCTAAACAGAGTGTACAGGTATATATCACATCACCCTAAACAGAGTGTACAGGTATATAACACATCACCCTAAACAGAGTGTACAGGTATATATCACATCACCCTAAACAGAGTGTACAGGTATATAACACATCACCCTAAACAGAGTGTACAGGTATATATCACATCACCCTAAACAGAGTGTACAGGTATATAACACATCACCCTAAACAGAGTGTACAGGTATATATCACATCACCCTAAACAGAGTGTACAGGTATATAACACATCACCCTAAACAGAGTGTACAGGTATATATCACATCACCCTAAACAGAGTGTACAGGTATATAACACATCACCCTAAACAGAGTGTACAGGTATATATCACATCACCCTAAACAGAGTGTACAGGTATATAACACATCACCCTAAACAGAGTGTACAGGTATATATCACATCACCCTAAACAGAGTGTACAGGTATATAACACATCACCCTAAACAGAGTGTACAGGTATATATCACATCACCCTAAACAGAGTGTACAGGTATATAACACATCACCCTAAACAGAGTGTACAGGTATATATCACATCACCCTAAACAGAGTGTACAGGTATATAACACATCACCCTAAACAGAGTGTACAGGTATATATCACATCACCCTAAACAGAGTGTACAGGTATAAATCACATCACCCTTAACATAGTGTACAGGTATATATCACATCACCCTAAACAGAGTGCACAGGTATATATTACATCACCCTAAACAGAGATAACAAGTATATATCACATCACCCTAAACAGAGTGTACAGGTATATATCACATCACCCTTAACATTGTGTACAGGTATATATCACATCACCCTTAACAGAGTGTACAGGTATATATCACATCACCCTTAACATTGTGTACAGGTATATATCACATCACCATTAACATAGTGTACAGGTATATATCACATCAACCTAAACAGAGTGCACAGGTATATATTACATCTCCCTAAACAGAGATTACAAGTATATATCACATCACCCTAAACAGAGTATACAGGTATATAACACATCACACTAACCAGAGTTTACAGGTATATAACACATAATACTAACCAGAGTGTACAGGTATATATCACATCACACTAAACAGAGTGTACATGTATATAACACATCACCCTTAACAGAGTGTACAGGTATATATCACATCACATTAACCAGAGCTTACAGGTATATATCACTTCACACTAAACAGAGTGTACAGGTATATATCACATCACACTAAACAGAGTGTACAGGTATATATCACATCACCCTAAACAGAGATTACAGGTATATATCACATCTAAGACTCTCCTGAAATAGCTCGACTTCGTTAATAAGCCCGTTATTCCTTTTACCAAAAATGAAAGTAGGCCGCGGCTGGTTATCGAGCTTTTAGGGTATTTCATAAATAATAGCACATACATGTTCATTGCCAAACTAATGTTAATGTTTAAGTCTAAAGAAGAAAACTTCCATTGTTTTAGGAATGCATTACTTACGTTTGTCAGGAGAATTGTAGTCAGTGTCATAATCCGCTATGTCTATGACATTATCGATGTCCGATTTAATTGGATTCGCGTAGTTTATGGTTGAAGCCTTTGTAGAAAACAAAAATAATGTTTTAACACAGTTGACATCGAGTGCTCATTGAAAGAATACTTTTGACGCAATTAGTTATTGATTAATTTGTACAGAAATTACTTCATGTATTATTTAACCGACAAAAATAATGCATTTGTCATGTAAAAATAAAAATATCGATAACCGCAAATTCTTCAGTGACTCAATTCCCGCGGACAGTGTTTGTTAGCTTTATTACACTCAAAAGTTCAGCAACAAACGAATATATTTTTGTACTTCTGATGAAACATAATAATCCTGCTTACCGATCTGGAACCAATTAGAATTCCCATACCAATGCCAGCGATAGCCTTACGTTCTTCGATAGTCACAGTGACATCTTGATCGATAAAACTTTGCAGCGTGTCAATTGCCTTCTCTGTGAAGTCAGCTAAAGTAGTCTAATAAATCATATTTGTATATGATAAGTACATATCATGTGTTTCATGTATGTCAATATAGTGTACGAGATCGTAAAACGACTACATATTGGTTTACAATCAAATCAGCAATTATATATTACTTTGAATAAATTGTGTTTATTCTACATTTAATTCTCTTTGCACTATTTCAAGGCTAATGTTCGAATCATGGTTTGGTTTACACCTCGATATTGGTTTGGTTTCTTTTTAATTCTAAAAATAGTTGAATGTAGCAAAGGATGAAAGATTTACACAATGTCTTTCTTTTCACGTTCAAAATATATGTCTTAATGTTCATAAGTAGTCAGATAATAGGCCAATCAATCAATCGAACCTGTGCCTCTCTTTGTAAACATTCTGGTGTTTCCTCAGCAATATCGACAGCCACCGATGCTATAAGGATGATAGATTCTGGCGAACTGAGAGAAAGGCTCCCTAAGTTGGTGGTTGCTTGAGTGAGAATCTAAACAAATATCAACATTCATTTTTTTCTGGTTTTAGCACATACAATTATGCTGACGAAGTTAAAATAAATCTTATATTCAAAGTATTTTTATACACACAATAACTTCAATCAAATTACAACATTTGGCTATGTGGATATTATCATAAGAACATATGATATTTGAAGTATGTATACATACAGCCTTTGTATAGCCTGCATTAATTCGTATAGTTTATCAGTTCGTTTAAAGACAGTAAATTTCGTTATATTCTTTAGGTATATACAGTTTACTACCTATTCCGTCTTTGCGTATTGCAGAGTTATCTTCTCTTGAAAGCAGGTATTGATTGTTACATGTACGTCATTTGTTTGTGAGAGTAACGTCATCAATTTTTGAGAAAACGACGTAATTTTCTCACACGAACCAATGACGTAACAATCAATACCTGCTCTAAAGAGAAGATAACTCTGCAATACGCAAAGACGGAATAGAATAAACTTGTAATGTCTGCAATGTATATTTCAAACTTATTTGCATCGAGGAGCAGTATCAGTTCATGGACATTATAAGTGTAACATGACCTTTTTTCTGTGCGAATCGTCCTCTTTTTGTGTTTTCGTCGGAGGTATATTGGCCAAGCATGGAACATGTATAAAGATTGATAGCAATAAACTTTGCCCTCCTATTAAAACGGTTATAACTAATATTACCTGTATATGCTATCCAGTTATAATTGTTTAACTGTATCTATGGACTTACCATTGCTCCCTCGTTGCGTTTCCTCTCGGCTTCTGCTTGTACCGTTTCGTTAACCGGAGTCTATCAATGTAGAGATGATTTGATTTCAAAGTTTTGACAAAGCAAGGCCTTAATAATGGAACATTGTTAAAACAAGAAAACATAGCAATTTTGGACTGGATTGAATATATTTACATTTTGTCAAAACTTTGCAAGTAAGATATTAATCAACGAATGGAAAAATATTGTTCTCTTATCCCTGACGTCTATGTAAGTGTATTATGCAAGAGGTTTCTGAGTGTTCTGTTTTGCTAATATTTCAATAATTTTTGTTTGAATTTCAGGAAAATTATCTGTAGGTTGAAACATCAATGATATGAAGGTTGATGTTTTCAACATGTTCATTTGTGTGCCTTAACGTTTCACTGTCACTATCCTAGTTCTCACTTTGAGGACGTGGTTTTACTTTAACAGACAGTTTTCGATGATCTAGGTCTTATTTTCCTTTTTCTTTTTCTAGGGTCAACATATTCTGCCTTCAGTTCCATCTTTTTGAGTTCGTTTGAATTACATATGAAAGTTTACATGTGAACATATTCTTTATTGTATATATAAGCAAGCAAACAACATTATATTATGCAATTATTACATCAGGGTCATTCAACATACGTTTGGGTCCAGTTTTTGTGGGTTCTCGCGCCCTGGATCATCATACGTGGGAGTATTGAACCCAGCAGCATAATTTCCTCCGAATTCTACAAAAAGATTAGCTCAAACATTTCAGACAATTATAGAGATTCCACGATGGTATACAGTATTTTGAGACAATCTCTCGAAAGCAATAACAATTCTTACATGTTAGAGAAATATGATAGAATTCTAGAATATTACATACGAGGTATAATGGATTTGAAGTCGACTGTTAACACGAATTCATTAACATATTGAGTATTAATACATTGACACAGTGGCAAAATTATTAATAAACATGCTCCAACCAATCCGTGCTTGATCATATACTGTAGAGGTGCCTCATATACTTTTGCATTCCATTCTATTAAACCGTGATTAAACTAAATGGAGTTATTTACATTCCGGGAAAACAAGCTGTGGCATGCCAATGTTCATAAAGGTAATTTGTACTAATTAGTAAGGTACACATGCAGCATCTCAGTATTATGGTGAACAATTATCAAGTGTATCAATGGGTGGGTCGCAGGATTATAAATGGTATTAAACTGATAAACATAACAAAAATATCAATCCAAGAAAGCTAACAAGTACAAGGTTTTGTGTAAATATCTGTAGGGATCTATTTGCATGCTTATTTTTTCCATATGTTTGCATCATGCTTCACATATGACGGAGCTGCTAGCTACAGGATAAATTAAACAGGTGTCAATTCGTCCGGCTTACCTTGGCTCTTTATGTAAGTTTCGCTACTTTTAATGCATAAGTCAATTAACAATCATAATAACCAGCGATTAATGTCTTGTTAAGGATTTCTAAATAGAAAATCGGAAATAATTAGGTCAAAATTATCAAAATGCAAACTAATTATTCATGCACCTGTTAACATCCCCTTACTCTGCTCGCTGACCAAACTTCTCAATTCAGAAATCAGCGAAACAACTTCATTGCGGTCCCCTCTAGCATAGATCTGATCTATGGCATCATTGCCGCCGGCGTTTAGCGTCTCCAATCTTGCGTCCAGTGCAGTTTGGCTAAGAGGATTCACCTGTAACAACAGTAGCATCGATAGATATCATGGATATAGCCGGGTCGATGGGCGTGGTTATTTCCGTCTTTTCGTATTGCAGAGTTATCTGCTCTTCTGAGCAGGTATTGGATGTTACGTCATTTGTTTGTGGAAGTAACGACATCCTCTTTTGAGAAAAAGACGTGATTTTCTCACACAAACCAATGACGTAACAATCAATACCTGCTCACAAGAGAAGATAACCCTGCAATACGCAAAGACGGAGTAATACAACGTCCTTTTCACAGAGTTGAATCACGAAACAAATACCTTTACAGAAAAGAGTTAGAGAATATCAAACGTAAAGGAAATGGGCATAATTGGAAAAATAGATATCTGATGCAATTGGTGATTAAATCTTAAGCAGTTTCTTTAATATCTATCTTCAATACAGAAATACAGGAAAAGCAAGGAAATGTTTTAATTTTGGTTTTAAGAACTGTCGCCTTACACCATTATACAAAGAGAAAACCCCAGAAATAGAAAGTAAAATTGTCTTTCTTTGTAAAACATTATCGCTTGGAGTTTGTAATAAGGATATCATTAGGTAAGGAATACCCATATTGAATATCACGTTAGCTGATATAATGAGTGGGTAACTCACCGTGACAACACCGATATAATAATCAGTGGCTGCTCCCTTCGTGTCGGTGATACGGGCCCAGGTGTGGAGTTTGTAGTCATCATATTCAGTGCCCTGTGGAAACTTGCAATCATATTCACGTTTCGGTTCCAATATATACGCGAGCCGTATCTCTTTTTCGCTTACGTTGGTCTTTACTGAAATATACATAATTTAAGAATTGTTAAGATTTGTAAAATTCAAATTGATAATATGATAAAAATAATGAAAAGACAGATGTGTTATGTAGAAAAGAACCCTCAAAGATTTTAAGCATCGGTAACAAGCTTCTGAAAAACTTGACTATGTAATACAAACACGGAGCTCGCTATTTTTATAGAATTTTGGTTTGCTGCACGGCTTTATAGCATCAATGAGGCTGCCGAGTTATTCCCCTTAGCATGTCATTATATAAAACACATGTCTGAATAGTGATTATCTAACAACGGCATCCATTATATAAACTCGTAATATTAGGTCTATATATAATATCCCTGATATATAATTGAAACAATACATCAATGAATACACACACAATTCAACTGTATAGATCGGTTAGATATACCAGCACACAAAATCAACAGCAAAAACAAGAGTAAATATATTTACTTACATAATTAATATCCATATGTACTTTCAATAATAAGATCTATCTAAGGTACCGTTAATATGTACCTAAAGATATTAAAAGACCTAAAATCTATACAAACAATTATAGAACAATGCAGGACATCAACAATTTCCAAAAGGAACAATAGATATATACAGATCAATCACATATACTGGTAATGTATTGTCGGACAACTTCGGATAAACATTTTGAGATGAAATGACTAGTGAAAATACATACCAAAGAAGGTATATTTCTCGATACCATCCAAATCCTCCCAATCCATACAAGTTAAGGTGAATAAAGTGTCAGTCACCTGGCCGGTATTTGGACTCACAGTACAGGTTCCGTTAGCGGGGGGCATGTTCACCTTGATGTCTAGCGACGTGGAGGCCATGTTTCCATTAGTTAAATTTGTCGTCAAGGAGATGCGGAAAGTGTCCGTTGAAGACTTAAAAGCATCAAACACGCCGTCTTTGAAGGTTATCTGTTCAGACGAGTCAGCTGCGCGACAAAACAAAATAATACGTCGTGATTATTTTAGTAAGGATGTCATGCTATAAAACATAAATAACCTAAAATTTATATAAATACATAAAAGTAAAAAATATGATTGATACATTTGAAACTCTGTGTCATACAACAGCCTGTATATCTATGTCTTTGTTAATGTATTCATATCTCTCAATTACATCGTGTCGTTTATGACGTCATGTATTTGTAAGTCAAATAGTATAATTGTATCAGAAAAAACGAATATGCTTAGATATTACTAAATGATTTGTTTATGTATCAATACGATAACAATTTAATTTCATACAATTTCGGTACACACACATATATATATAGTGTCCCTACTATTTTGAATTAAGGGGGGAAAAATCAACATTTGATAGCTATGGCATACGCACCTACTCAGACAGAATACAATGTGTTTGTTGTATTTCAGAAGAACAATAACAAGGCAGCGGGTATACAAAGCAGATACTTCAACTAAACACAACATGAATCCAGTGACCTACACATGTATTTAATGAAGCCGTTCATGGGAAATAAAGTCAATTAGCCAATCGGAACTGTCAATGCTGCAAAGCCTGTTAAAAATTATAGGAAGCGAGATCAAAGAGGACTGTAAAACACTATAATAAACTGTAAAACATTGCTTCGTGTATTATATTACAGTATCATTTTTACTACATCTGAGAAAATGACATTTAATAGGATGAAAAGTCACAGTCATTAGGAGAACAATGAGGATCCCACAACACTAGGCAATTATTAAGCTACACTTGTGAGGAGCTTGCTTTAAAAATATCATACCGTTTTTTTCTCCAAATCCATCCATTGAAGTCCATGAAGAAACCAGCATGTTTCTTTTTTTATCTCGATTGTTAAGAAGAGACATATCTTATATCAACACAACACTTCCTTGGTTAAGTGATGCTCTCAAAGCCTCTAAGCCATTCTCCCTTTCCCCTTCATAAGGAATAGTCTTCAAACATTTCCCTTAGCCTACCGTTTTAGCCTTCCTCTCGGACATATAGGGGCAGTACTGTTCGATTTTGAGACATTGAACCCTCTTTGTATCTACTAAGTAAAATTTCTGTCTAAATCCCTTCACCCGTAAATACAACTCGTTCAGCGCTTAACTCCTATTTCTTCTTTAGCGTCATGGCCATGTGACTGACGAAAAAGTAATATATTTTAGAGTATTTATCATTTTTGCCCTGCTCATCTGCCTCCAATAGAGCAACATTCTTCATTCTGACAACGGGCTATTATCTTCACGCAGAAAATCTCTATGCATATTAATGTTTACCCTTAATTCCACATATGAGTCAGCTCCATTGACGTACAGTTTGTCACATTCTGTTAACAACATTATTCTCTGGAGGAATAGGCTTTTAAAAGAAAACTTGACGGATGGGCGACATCCACTGCGTCACACCATATGTCACTTAGACGTTACGACCAGTTGATCCAAAACTGGCATCGCACGTAAATGGCAACAAGCGACAATAAAGACAAATCACATGATGCCTGATCATGCTAAATGAGAACCGAAAAGTCAAAACATTATGTCGAACTAAAATTCGATAAGACTTGCGCAAAATATGATATTTTTTTTTACATGGATGTCCTTGAGCATATTCTGAACATTACATAAATACAAGTGAAGGATAATTTATAGCAAAGTATCCAGCAGTTCATTCAATTAAGTGAAAAGGTAAAATATTATTTGTGGATGCATTTATACACTGTACACATCCAGGCAAGATAAAACATGAAAACCCACGCAGAACATAGCACTGTTCTAGTACACACAAACAAGGAGTTTCTAAATACCCCGTCAGTAAAGAATTTTGAATAAAACGCATTCAGATTGCTCCATAGTATCATTACTGTTTCATATGTTAATACTAGCAATACAGGTGAGTACGATCGCCAGGTATACAAATAGCAATAGACATACACAATATCTCATTTAAATATGGCCTCGTCACATTTTCTGTATGGATTCCTGCATGCGCCGCCACAATATTTTCAATATAAAAATCTTGTTTTTGGAAATTCTTATCATTTATCTTGAATGTTCGCGCAGGGGTGTATTAGTTTACTTTACAAGAACATATTGTTTATTTGCTTAAATCAGGAGATAGTTGTGTGAAAGGTTATAATTAGCATGCGGAATTTGCAACCTTTGATATGTATTCCCTGAATGATTATACAGCCGTCACACCGGACTGGCGTCCCTACGGCGTCCCTACGGCGACCCAGGACGTGGAAGGGACGAGCGCGTCCTGAGCGCGTCCTGGCTCAGGACGCCGTGGGATCGCCCTGAGGTCGCCATGGTCGCCGTAGCATCGCAGTAGGAACCCGAACAACNCGCAGTGGGGTCGCCGCTGATCGCCGTATGGACGCCGCAGTGACGCCGTGTAAACTCAATAGAAACTCCAAGGACGCAGTAAGAACGCGGTAAGGTCGTGTTGGGAACGCCGTGTACATACACAGATCGCAGAGCACAGAACTCCGGTGTGACGGCTGACTCGAAATCTGGATTTATTTTAGAAAAATCATTGGCGTTCTCAATGCGACCATCGGCGTTCTCCAAAATATGACAGTTTAGGACGCGGTAAGGACGCCAGTCCGGTGTGACGGCAGTTTAAGGGTAGCGCTCACCTGGCACCGCAGGTAATTCATTACCATTTAATAGTATGAATACTAACAACGACATCATCTTCATTAGTTACTCAAATTATACAAAGGGCATCATAAACTAAACATATAACAGTTAGATGAAGTTGTATACAACAAATAGCTCGGCAATGCGCAGCTACACAGAAATAGGTTGACGCTATGAGTAACCTTATTACGAAGACACCACGGCCATGGTTCGTTGGCTAAACTATATTTATAAATTTATTGATGTATATACAGCTATTATTTCATACAATAAAATCTGAAATCCTGTATGAATTTATTTTGCAATTCATTATTAGCAACCGACGTTCAATGAAATGAATCAACAAATTATCACAACTAATGTTTAATTCTTCAGAAACTGGATATAGTGTCTTGCAATAAGCAACAATAGCAAACAGGTGAGTTTAGGGGAACTACTTCCTTGTTTTCTTACCCAGAAGTCCTGCAATATATGCGAACGCATAACGCCAGAATACCGCACGCATGCGCAGAATGAATATGTGTAACAAAAAAAATAGCATCCAGATTAAAATTTGTGCAGATATTATAAACATCGGTAGATCCATGCAATGTTAGTGTGTATTAAAATAATGAAAAAAATGTGCAAAATATGTGTACGAATATATGCTTCAATTATTAGTATTCAAATATAAGGAAATGGAATTTATATGAAATCAGTTTAAATAGAATATGAACAGACAGCGAAGTCTCGTTATAACAAGAGGACAAAATAACAAAAAGTGTTCTCACGTGCATACATTATAACGACAAAAACAAGAGAAAAACGAATTAAGAACAAGCACATCTATATCAAAATTGAAATTTAAACTATTTAGAAAATCTTGTATCCTTATATACTCTTAAACACATATTATTAATAACACGACTGTCTATCTAAATGCTATAAACAGTAATTGACATGATAAAACGGCTTTACTTCTCAAATGTACACATTATTCTTGAAATAAACAAACTATATTGTCTAACAATTATTGAGATTTTAAAATGTCACTGCCTCTAAACTACATAAAATACTTTATTTACGAGCGTAGTTAAAGAGACTAGTTAGATTGTTTGTGACGGAATAGGTAGACAGATGGTAACAGCTTGTCCTTGTGTAACAGAATATGTATTTGTAAGTGTAATGAAAAAGTGTCAATGTAAAGGAATAGTCATTGCGAATAAGTTTGATACGTTAGGATCTATATTATGTATGCTCGAATATAATGATTACAAAAGTGATAACACATTCCAAAAAGGTAAACAAATTCTATTTATGTGAACATGCTTTTATATAAATAAGATAAAATGAAAAACATAATATATATGGATGATAAAGCGTTGACATTCAGTAAATACGTGTAATAATGTTTTCACAGTCCGTCAAATCTTTCACGAATCGTTTTTGTTTGCTAATGAGATATGATCAGAACGTTCTAACATTGTTCCTCAGTATGCGTAAATCTAAATATTTACGTGGATTTACTCTACAAATTACTTTCGTTGTAATTTGAAATATTATTTAATAAATGAAAAAATCGATTCTTCAATATCTTAAGTCTTTGCAATTAAAACACAATTAAAACCATAAGAAAAATTACATTACTTTAGGTTCTGATTCTTGTCTCAGAGAGTCTGTTTTATGCACGTGCAGATAATGGCCCAGCGTCATTCTAGTATTGGGTGTGGACGCACTTAACTGCACGTGTGGATAGTTTTCATGTCTGTTACTCTGGGGTCATAGCCATGCTTATAAAAGAGGTACGATGGGATGAACGTTTATCGATGTGATGTGGAAATAAATAGTTAATGTTTAGAGTAATAAACAACGTACCATGATATCAAAGCTGTGAGAACTAAGCGTATAAATAATACATTTGTTTCTGTCAGTGGTTATTACAATAAAGTACTAAATAATCAATTGACAATCATTTTTTGTTTTTGTCAACGCTAATTTAAATAAATTATCACTATTTGCTTTATCTAGCAGAATTTTCCAGAACCTAATATGATAAAGTATAATAGTGCGATTTTCCTCTGTAAGCGCTATTGCAATCATCAAGTATTATGCGCGAGTCAGTGCTTGTTACAATGATCAACCCGACCCCAATCGCATATAATAGAGCTTATTAGAATACGAACTTATAACAAATAATTCAGCGTTAAAAAGCGGTTTAAAAAGCGGCACATAGAACTTGAAAAAATACCAAAATAGTGTTGCTGTCAAACTTTTTATAAGGTATGAAGTTTCTAAAATAAATATCCATACATGGACTTACTTTCTTGCATGATGCTGCTGTCGCATGACAACATTTTCATATTTAATAAATATTTCATTATATTTTCAGCGAACATTTTCTTAAAATATCAATATTAAAGATAAAAGACTGCGAAACGTCAAAATGCTAAAAAGACATTTCAGTTAAGACACTCGAGTCATTATTTACCAAAGAAGGCCAAAGAAAAAAGTGAATAAATTATGTACCATGACAAATGTCAAAAACGATTTGTGAAAGACTTGATTTACGTAATATTTCAAACCAAAACGCTTCATGAAAATGTGCAACCACGCAGATATAATATGCAAAGAAACATATATAGATTATTTGAATAACTTTTGTGATACATTATTGCTATAAATATACTCTATTTAACTGTATATAAGTGTTTACCGTTTATGTACTGTTTAAGCTCACTATACGGGATCGGCTCCCAGACCCATTGATGCTGAGGTCGGGACAACACCCAATTGTAGCCCGATATGAGCTCGCAGTTGGCCTGACAGTCCGTGTACAGCGACAGCTTTGTGGTAGCAGAAACCTCGACACCATCAGATAACTGGGTACATCGGGAAGCAGCAGAACATCTGAAGGTAGTGTTCATGGAAGTAGAAGAGAATTACTACTGAGTAACCTTCCGCAGAGAAATATCACAGTATTACAGATAGCAACATGTACTTTGTCCAGAACAAATAGATTTTTGCAGCATTTATATCAACTTAATAAGGATCACTTCAAAATGATATATATATATTTGTTTCTAACGTCATAAAAAAACACATTACGTAAACTCTCGTCTTACGCATTCTTAACACAATAATACAACGTAAAAAGAAAAAAAAGACTCATTACAAATTAAACTCACCTCGGTACAGTTAATGGAGGTAAGAAATCTGTGATCTCCAACTGCCCCAGAGCTTCTCCCTCGCGTCCATCAGCCGTATACAGAATGATCTTAAACTCGTATGTTTCTCCAACGTGCATGTTGTCTGTGTTAAATTCAAGCTGTAAAGCATTTGTATTAATCCTACCGTTACCCTGTCGGAAACACCCTCCAATGTCAGGGTGACTCGCTATCTCTGAACTGTGTAATGGCACTGACTCAAATCCGTCATCAAAACTGCCTGGTACTTTCCTACACCACCATCTGCAGATACTAAATTCCTGAAATGTAAACATTCATACCTNTTTTTTTTTTTTTTTTTTTTTTTTTTTTTTTTTTTTTTAACTCAAACTGCCTTTAAGGCTGTTTTTCTTTAGAAATCTAAACATTTCGTTTCCCACCACATTCAATATATGTTATTCTTTTGACTTCGATTCTTTGGTTTTATTGTAAGAGCAAATTATTTCTGGGGGCAATGCAGTTATATTTCGCTTAATATTTGATAATTTAAAACTTCGCCACCATTCTGTATACAACAAAGCAAATATATTTATTGGATAATTTTTTCCCATGATATCCCATAAAGAAAAAGAGATACAGTTTGCAGCTGCACATACCTTTATCAGTGGGCAGAGGAGACAACCAAACCCAGTATTTGTATAATGAGAGAAGGTATTTTTTGAACAATTTGTGAACTTAACGTGATGACAATGTGTATTATCCCTATTATTACCGATGTTTTTCCGGCAGGTACATCCGGGTCTGTAGAGAGATTGGCCGGATTAATCACCAAGTTTTCTCCGTGCTTCCACTGGATCTTCGACACTCCCCCTGGAAATAATTTGACCTCTAGTGGCGACGCCTCCGTGCGTATGAACGTATCGGCAGAGGTTCCAAAATCGACCGTGCTTTTGCCAGGCAGCATTGTCAATTGGTAGCGGACTTTATAGGTACCCAGCCCCAGGAAACGTGGAGGCAACACTAACTCAGAGGTGGTACGTGAATCTATACTTGTGATATCAATTTGTGTTTGGGTATTTCCATATTCGTCAATCTGAACAATCGACCATTCTTTTTGATTTTTTTCCGTTTCTGGACAATTAATTATAGTTTGTCCGATCAAGATAATGAAATCACTCCTCATGAACGAAATAGGAACTTGGAAATCATCAGAGTATCCGGGTGATTTAATACTTAACTGTGGAAGTGAACAATTTGTTGCGGCAACAACATGTTCTAATGTGTCTGCAGAGTCAGAAACGCCATTAAAAGCATTAACTGTCACCGTAAAACGGCTTGCGTATTGGTAGGTGTGAGTAATCGTAGTCGCCACCGTCAATGGCATATTTGAGTAGTAATATGATATCGCAGAGGCGTTATACCTTGTCGAGCATGTTGGGGAATCTCCAAGTATAATGAAGTCACCGTCATTTAGATCGATATGCACGCATGTCTGATCCCCAACCGTGTTGAAGTTAAGAATGATAGTCTTAACAGCGCCTACAGCCACCGTGGCGCCGTTGTCCGTAACGCTGTTTAAAACGACGGATTCTTGAATAACCACAGAGGTAGACACTGCTTCCATATGACTGTCTATATAGTTCCTCGCTGTGATATCAATGGTGTATGTCCCGCTCTGTAACAAACAGCTTACAAATACATTTGAGTTAATTGATATTTTTACGAAGAGCTAATAGTCAATATATTGTATGGATATACACAGGGTTAATCACAATAACATATGTCATGTCAATGTGTATACACATACAGTTTACACTAACATTTGCTCAATAACAATTGTTCCTGCGAACTGGAATTTTCATCCCAACCTGACCATAGAAAGTGACAGAATTGGACAACAATGTCATTATAATAAGAAAATACCGGCGGAGTTAACCAAGGATTGAGCAAATTTCAGGCTGATACATGAACGTTCATTTACCCGATCACGTATTTATATATATTGTACGAAATACTTATTAATACAAAAAAATCCGCTGTAAATAGAAGAAATACGTTTCCATTTCCGTAGAGTTATTTGGTGATAATTCTAGTTGAGCACAAGTAAATTTAACAAAAATGACTTCATCATCTTTTCAAAGAACGCGAGCTGAACTGGAGCGAAACTCTTTACCATAGCCTGAGTTTCAAAAATCGGATATTTGATTTTTTTACATGTTTAAAGATTTGCCTACTATGTTTTAGATCGATAGTGAAATTTCGTTTATTCAACATCTGATGAATGCCACAAGCGTTACCAGAAATAGAAATGGATACAATTTCGGAGCACATCGGATCAACTTTCTTTCAAGTAATTTTGTATTGCCGATTTTGTCTCAGAGTTTTAACTGTAATGAATTCTTCTTACAAAAATTGTATATATGTATTCCATTCGTTAGCAATCTCGTATGAATGCTGACGTATAAGGTTACTTACCGAACTGGATGATTGTAGGATATCATGTACATGTATGCAGATCAGGTATTGTATGTTTATGATATACGTGCCATGCATATTTGTGGATACTTTCCTGGTTTAATCATGTTTTGATCTATATCATGTATAATATAAATAATAATATTGAAATGAAGAAGGAAACATAAAACGTTGGTAAATGAAATCATCCGAATAAGAAATATCTATATTGGTTAGACAGCTGATGACAAAAGACGTAAGTGTGTACATGGTGCAAGCAACTTCATCGAAATTTATCCAGAGTATTAAACTAAATGCAAATACATGATATAAATATATTGCCTACCGTAAGATTGAGTTCAAACATGTCTTTTGTCGTCATGTTGCACACTGTGACGGTAATGCCGGACGTTGCCTTTACATCATAGTATACGAAGGTCCCTACAAGATAATAAATAAATGACGCTTTCAAGTGCATGTATGCTTGCGGATTAAAAACAATGTCCAGGTAAAACCTACGATAACCCTATCAAGACCTTATAACATAAGAAAACTTTCAATATCGCAAAATATAGTAGACACATTATCAAGACTGAATTTCCAGGAACGAACACTATATGAACAAGACTAAGCCTAACGTTACTGGATCAACCTGTCTAAATTTATTACCATTTACACCGGACTGTCTATCTAGATTTAAGCCTCACGTTACTGGGTCAACCTGTCTAAATCTAATACCATTTAGACCGGACTGTCTATCTAGATTTAAGCCTAGCGTTACTGGGTCAACCTGTCTAAATCTAATATCATTTACACCGGACTGTCTGTCTAGATATAAGCCTAACGTTACTGGGTCAACCTGTCTAAATATAATACCATTTACACCGAACTGTCTATCTAGATTTAAGCCTAAGGTTACTGGGTCAACCTGTCTAAATCTAATACCATTTAGACCGAACTGTCTATCTAGATTTAAGCCTAGCATTACTGGGTCAACCTGTCTAAATATAATACCATTTAGACCGGACTGTTTGTCTAGATTTAAGCCTAACATTACTGGGTCAACCTGTCTAAATCTAATACCATTTAGACCGGACTGTCTGTCTAGATTGACATCTAAAGAAACGAAACTGTCTAGACCCAATACCATTAAGGCCAAACTTCTAGAACGAATTTTACGAAATCAAATTCACGTATACGAAACGCCATAAAGAGCAAACTGTTCAGACTTAACAACGTTTGGCTATTTTTTCAGAATGAAAATACAACACATTACTGCGAAGGATGCCATGGTTTAAGTTTTGATACCAAGGTATTTTTGTGATGCAGAATGAAATGCTCTATTTTCAGTAACATTTACCTTGACCCTTGACCTTATGAACTATAAATGGAATACCGGGTAAACATTGTTCGTAGGAAGCAATGTGTACTATTTGAGTACTATCGACCCACTGCATGTATTATGCAGAAACCATATTTCTATTTCAAATCACGGTAATCTTGAACTATAACCTTCAGACATGATAAGTGAGTGTTACCTCCTGGATTTCAAGATGAGCCACAGCTAAAAATATTCAGAAAGATTATGAAATGTTGTTCCATATCACCCATTGGGGAGTGTCAAACGCACATTGTTGGGTGGCTCTGACCTAGTTTTTTTAATCTCAGCTATTCTTGGTTGTAATTTTGATGACATATTTCTATAACGTAACCAAATTACCGAGACTTTGAACTTACGGACGGAGGAACGCACAAGAATTCTTGGAAATAGACATGTAATAGAATGAAGTTTATTTATCTTTCAAATCAACAGTTGAACGATGGCTTTATAAAATTCTAGATTTTGGTAATTCTTTCATGTGTAAACAAAAAAAACCCCTTCTACCTTGGGTACTGCTCATGTAGAACTTGATCGGTCCTTCCGGAAACACGTCCTTTGACGCCCCGAATCCCTCTGCGTCACTTCCTGATGATGGGATTTTTGGCTTATACTTTGTTTGCACAGCAAGGCCCTGGAAAGGCTTATACACTCCGCTCTGAAACCGTTTAGATTGATCAGGTGTAACGATACATATTCTTATTCTACGACTCAACACTTAAAAGATTTGTATGTAAAAAACAACTATTTTCTTGACTTTCGTTATTTATCTGTTGAATATTGTATTGATAATGGACAATTTATCTTTAAAACTCACATAGAAACCATGCAACAAATGTCGTACAATTAAGTATACAGAGCATCTGTTTATACTTAAAATGTGTTAATTTCGTCATGTTTTGATTTGTAGACTAAAGCGAAAAACAATAAAACCTCGTACATTGATTGTGCTGGAAAAGCTGGAAACAAGATTGGAAACAGTGATTGTTGTGTAAAAATCCCCGTCAACCGTGTATGTCTTTTGTATGTCTGCAGGAATGCCTTTATGTAACACCAAACTGCTGAGACTGGCTGGACCGAAGGTAGTGCCGTCTCCGAAGTCGACCGTATATGTCGCATTAGTGGGAGGGTCGTCGTTATATTGAAACTGCAGTATGATACTAGCTGTGTTACCTACAAAAATATGTACATACAATCAAAAACAACACAGGTACAGTCAACTTCCTGTCGTTCACCAAGCCAAATCCATATATGCAACATTGGGTTCATTGACAATAAATGCCATTCCAACAAATACATTGTAAAATTATCATCAGGTAAAATGTGGCTAGGTGCAAGGAACAGACATACTGCTGCTGCAGCAGGTTGATGAACTTTGGTAAGATACTATAAAATAACTTGTGCTTATTGTAGGTTGATGGTGGTTATATTACCTTAGCGGCTGTGAGGCGTATGTCACTCTAAAAATAATCTATAGTTTTGGTCCAGCTGCTTGTAAATGTAATTCATTTTGAATTTTAACATTATAAGATCACGTTAGTTTATGAATACATATTTATGGTTCAGAGTGTTCGTTGAAGTAAAATGATTCATATTTGAATCAGAATACAATATTCACAATTTTTTTTGGTAAAGCTAAAGTTCGACCACATTACAAAGACGCGTTTCATGCTTGACATGTATTACCGCTTGGAAAGTTAGTTGGATGGTCAGTGACGAAGTTGAAGTTGTCTGTGACCTTGCTTTGACATACGATATCGTAGGTCTGGGTCTTCGTCTCTAATCTGCTTTGAGCTTGTACGGTGATCCTGTAGGTACCAACAGCTGGGTACAAAGCTGTGAACGTGTCCACTCCGTTTGGACTCACACCTTGAAAAACACAAGTACCTTTTGTATAAAACAGTTACATATATGTGATTATATTGAAATATGTATAAATATAAAGTGAAATTGTTCAACATTTTAAATTTGATAGAAGTCCCACTCTGTTTGTCATCTTGACTCTTACGTTATGTAGGATTTTATTGAGTGCTATGATGATAACATAACTGAAATAACCTCCCATGTCAGTGGTTGTGTTCATGATAATCTGCCCTGTTTCTAGTTGTATACAAGGTTTACTTCCCCTGTTTCTGGTTGCATACATGTCTTACTTCCCCTGTTTCTAGTTGTTTACATGCCTTACCTCCCCTGTTTTTGATTGCGAACATGCCTTACCTCCCCTATTCCTAATTGCGAAAATGTCATACCCCACTTGGCTGTTTCCGGTTGTTTACATGCCTTACTTACCCTGTTTCTGGTAGTTTACATGCCTAACCTTCCCTGTTCCTTATTTTATACCCGTTAGCCTCGATTGTTGAGATATTTTACCTGTCCTGCTGCGGACTGTTGGTAAGGCACCATTCCCCGGATCGAACGAAAGCTTTAGGTCGTTTCCGGTGTCCCCCCGTGATAGTTTGACATCAATGGAAACGGATTCACCAATAGGAGCATGGGGTACAACTTGAGGTATTATATCAATAGTGCCGATTTTCTCTACAACTTCCACACTTTTGGTCAGAGTGAGCGAATTTTGAGGGTTAGTTATGATAAATGTCACAGTCAAGTCTCCATTTTTCAAAAAGGAGAATGGTATCGGGGTGCCGACAGTAAATGGGTGTTCTTCTGTTGGGGAGCCACTGTTATCATTAATAACTACCGATGCCATATTCGGTGCGTCTTCTGACACTGTCTGTTGGAATGTGAATTCGGCATTTCCTGGAGGTTCAAAAAGAATCGTTGAATTATTCACAAAAACTTGTAAGTTTTCCACCCTTTTGACGACAAGCACTCTGTAAGTGTATTCAAACAAGTGGTATGTATTATAGACCTTTATCGTCACGGTGAAATCTCCCAGTGTAGTATAGGTATGACTCGCTACATATGGAGGTCCAGACCATGTCGGAGTTGTCGTCATTGTTTCATTAGCTGAGGAATCGCCATAGTCGACATGAACGTTGGGGTTAGTGCCGGAATCCATAGTAACGGTAAAACTGACGGAATCACCCTTGGACTTTACGACAACACCATTTTGATCAAGTGTGAAGTCGGCAGTGACTGACGGATTTACAATCAGGTTTTCTATTCCAAAATTAAAGGAAAGCGTGAGCTGAGACACATCGTTACTCATCGTAAGTACAGCAGGGTAAACCTTTGAGGTATCAGATTCTCCAGGATAGCTTGTCACAGTCCTTGCTCTATTTGCAAATGTGTCCTTGACGAGCTCTGGCTGTGTATTGTTGAACGTCAGGGAGTACTTGATGTCGGCGCCTCCACTTCCCCAAGTGAAAGCCAAGTAAAACGACTGACCCACAAGTGCTCCCGTTTGTTCGAACTTTACATCCTTTATTCGTTCTCGTGCAATAATACTTGTAGAGCCGGACTCCGTGCCGAGACCGTTGGAACATTGCACAGAAACTGAATATCTAGATATATCCTCAAACTCAAACAGATAGTTGAAGCATGTATTTGGCGGTGTCTCAGCATAAGTAGTCTGTGTTGAGGTGGACAACGATTTCAGTTCAGAAGCCTGATAGAACTCGCCATTCACTGTCCATTGACAAGTGTAGTCCGACCCCTGCGACATAGAAAGAGTGATACAACATTCCTCATCCACGACGCACTTAGGCTGAGTGAGAGACAGGTTTTGGATCTGTTCCTGTGCGATAATGGTCGTTGTATTTTCCTTCCGACTGCTTATGTTCTCTACTATGATAGACACTGTATACGTTCCCCTGACAAAAATGAACTTTTCGGTGTTATCATTGGTAGTGTTGACATGCGCTGTGATACCATCCCTCTCAATGGCCCAGTAGTACGTTAACGAAGATCCTGTAAGGTACAAAAGACTGGTTACATTAAAATATTTCACTTAGGCGATCATATTTATACGTGCACGAATGTTATAGCTGAACATTACGTTAAACGTTTCAGGGATTATAAGTAATGAATACAAGCGGTTTTGATATTCCTGAGCATTTCAAAATTTGTCTTCAGGTTGGTAAATATAGATGTTACACATGTTGGTATAACGCATCCAGTGACATGTTTTAATCGTTTCACTGATTGTGATGTATGAGCATCGTTTCGATAACAAGCTATCAAGCGTAGCAGACGTTTTTTCCTCCTACATTTCGAAACATACGTCGAATTTTCAATAAAATTTGAGTTTTGAATTATTAAAGGTTACACGGACCAGTGACCTATTTGAATGTAGTCGGCATTATAAGAAGAGATATAGAACACGTTACTTGTTAAATCAAATTAAGAACATCCTTACCGGTATGGGGCTTTAACTCTAACAACACCGGCACTCGCGCAGGCACGTAACTGGGGATGGAAATGATGGACACGTTCACACCCTCCACGCAGTTGATAGTCCTATTCAGCACAATTGGAGAAATCGAAGAAATTCTTTCATTCTCCAACGTAAATGTCATAGCTTTCGTGCCGGCTGTATAAAACATGACTGAATACTCCAGCTTGGTTCCTTGTGTTGTATGGCCTCGCAGTAAATGTCTCTGTGACGCTGAAGTGGCAGCATTCTTGTCACCGACGTTGGTGGTTATTACATCCTCTTTGTCTGATTCAGTAGTATGTCTAGCGCCCAAGGTCGCCCCCGAGAAACCAAGCACACACCCAGGGGTCACATCTACCACATCCGTGATAGGTAGATAGTGATGACCAATGTCCGTGATGGTGTGAGATTTGGAGTAAAAAACTTGGAGGTCAGTACGCTGGGTGCCGTCATAGCGTGATGCGGCGCTACACGGGCCGCTTACCCAGCACGCATGTGCAGACAGGCAGTATTGCTCGGAGTGAGAACACACATTGTCATTAGTACCAGGACATGTGCCTCCGCACATATTGGTGGCAAAACAGTAATCGGAGCAGGATGGACATAATACCTAATGAAAAAGATAGGTTTCATTAAAAAAAGACATCAAGATGATATAGTCAAAGCCTTGAATACACTCTACCTTTCGAAATACTTTAAGTTGTAATTTTGTTTAAAAACTGATGTATACTGTACAGTTACCTCACACGATACCTACGTAAGTTCTGTGGCCATAAGGTTACATCAAAGACACATGCATGTATGTATTTTGTTCTTGTTATATCAGCATGTCTGTATACTATACATGTTAAGTCAATGTGTATGTTTACTGGTGTCGCGAGGTTACCGTATATGTACATGTACAATGTATATTGTTTTATAAGAAAGCATGCATGGAGTTTCCTTGTAAAGTCAGTGTATTTGTATAAGGTTATTGTAACGTACAGTGTTTGGTTGTTACGACTCGGGTTCTCGATATGAGGACGTGACGTGAAATTACTTGATTAGATCTAGATTTACATGACGGGTGTTGTCGATATAGCAGAGCACGCCTACCATTCCAGAACACATGGTCCTATTTTCCTCGTTTTTTTCAATGGTCTTCGCGTAAAAATCTTTCTTTTGTACATATTTTGTCCTTATTTTATCAATGCTGAATTCGAATTATGGTTTTGATGACAATTCGGTTTTATCGTGTTGTTCTATGTTCAATTTGCTTTTGAAGTCAGCATGTATACCAGCGTGTATTTTATCGTGGTTGCTAGATATCGTGTTTTAGGAGTTAAACTAGTCATATCAGTACCTTGAAAGTGATCAATCCCGTTGTCTCAGCGTAAAACTCCAGCCCGTACAATTTTCCTGGATACTCGAATTCTGATGCCGGAGCCACTATGTGACTCGTTGGGGTTTTCCCATGAAGTGCAGGGCCAACGGTCGGTATAGGCGGCCCAATGATACGGGTGTCAGCATCTATAAAACACATGGAGCTTCCGTTAACATAATATATTCTTTACAGCAGAATATGTTTAACTCGAAATAAGAAGGACACTTGGAAAAGGAATGATACGGATACTCGAGCTGGTAAACTGTTCCTGTAGTCGACAGCTTTGTGACGCTCTCACTACATGTATCTCGTTCTAAGAAAGAAGTTAATTCAACGAAAGTTAAGAAACGAATTCAACTATTAATTTAGCAAACATGGAACATGGCTATCTTCCTTATTCGTTGTGAAATGTCTAGCGCACTGACAATTCTGTAACTATAAGGAGGATAATCCTGAATCTTGCTTAATAGATCATTAACGTTGTGACAAAACGTTTGGCGGATGGATATTTAAAGAGGCAGTTCTAAACTTTACAATTTAGTGTTCATTTCTTGTATTATCTAATCACAGAAACAAATGCAGGTGTCGACCAAAACACGTGTACTTTATACGTGCCGTTTATTGCGGATTCTTACAGATCGACGGATCGAGCAACACTGTATTGTGTTGTTGAACCGATGGCGACAGCAAAACAAATCACCACTGTTAATAAATTGCTGTGTGAGACACTATATAAAGCACGTCAACGTGTTGATTTCCCATGGGATCCCATAGAGTCTAATAAGGACATAGTGGAATAACGATACGTTGATAATAGAAGGTCTTTCAGGTTATCTGATATCTAGGTTTTAGAATCCCTTTTCAATCATTCGGCGATCTCCGAAAATTAAAAGCGTCGATTTGTAGATCTTTTTCACGGAATGCTTTCATATATCGCTACAATCATGTAATAATTGTTCCAGAAGACATGTAGAATGTAGTACTTTGGTGTAAGGCCACTACTGTAGCAACATATTGGTTTGACTTGTTTACCTGCGAGTGAGAGAACCTCTGGGCTAGCGTCGTCCGAATTTATCGTCAACTTGATGTAAGACCCCTGCATCACCTCCAAGGTGCACATTGCATATTCGAACGACGCCATATTATCTGGACAAGTTAAATTTACACCTGCTATAGCCGCATCCACTTGAACGGTTATCGCTACTACTTTTTCCTGAAAATGTAAATAAATAAATAAACAGTGACGTGTGACTCGACCAAGTATACCCTCACTGATATACTGGTTTAAAGGATCCCCGTACAACTGCCAAAAAGTACATCTATGGATTGGCGACTTTTTCATCAGTCTGACAATAGCATTAATGAATGATTTCTGAAGTCCCGTATATCCAAATTATATACCTGAATTCAGATTTTCAATTGGGGTCTTTGAATACGACTTATCAGGGCGTTGAAATTTGGGTTAACTATATCATCTTTTAGGGGGCTTACAAAACTTGGCCGCTTGCGTTTATTGCGATCCAAACGGTTCGACCTGTTGGACCAAAGTTGTTACTAATAGTAACATGGTAATGGACATGGTATCTGATGCTGCTTTCAGGCGAGCCCTGACAAAGTCTTACAGGTTATGTATCAACGTTAGGTCAGCTAGGATTCCTATCCGAAAATGTTGCATTTAAAAACAGACAAACCGGTCGTTCCGCATAAACGAACAGGCCCCAGGAAGAGAAAACAGTACAGCTGATATGTAAAATATAATAAACTTCTAACGTACCACCAACGTTTCGTTGTAGTCGTTGGCGATCACAGTGATCTGTTTAGTCCCCGGGGTGACGTAACTTCGCTGTAACATGTCTGTAGCGTTTTTATCCGTTCTTCCCGCCCCGTCGCCATAGTTCATTCTAAAGGCGGTGTCCAGTCCGGCGCTTTCGGTGTGAATCGTTAGGATGATTTCTGTAAAGGTCAGTACGGGCTCACTGGTCCCGGCTGATGCGGTCATAGCGAGGCCCACGATTGGAGGAGATGTCGTGTATACCTCCACATAATCTTTCGCTCCACACGTCTGAGAAGAATCGCCCAAGCATTTAGTTACACAAGATGAGTTGGATCGCTTCGATTCTGGGGGTGGATATTTTCCACATCTACAAAACTTCCCTGTAAAGTAATCAATTCGTTAAAGATCAACAACTCTTTAATAGACGAACATTTATTGAAAGTATTTTTTTTCAGATCATGAACGTCTCTTTTTTTTTGGAATGATGTATGTTTAAAAACTACACTAACATTTAGTTTAACTAAGAGGTATTGTACTAAGGTTTCGTTACACGAGCCGGGTGGGGCCCGCACTCAGCCTCCGTATTCCGGCGATGTGTTCCGTGCACATTTTTACTTAAAGAAGGTCATAAATTGTTACATACAGAATGGTAAAAGGCATGTCAAAGCCTGCTAATTACAGGTTCATTTCAATGGGGGAGGTATTTCATTAAATTCAATAGTAATGGAATTCTAACTAAATGATATTTGACGGTGTATTCAAACTAACATCTTTAACCGTTTAATGTACTAATATTGTTTTGTCTATTGAGTATTCTGATTTATATATAAAATCTTTAAAAACTCGAGTTTTAGTTGTTTCAAAATGTTGATGTTGAGCTTAGTAGTGCATGATCTGCGCAAGTCATTTGGATTGTTGCAGGTTGATTTGCGCTAATGCTTGTGACTTAGCAAATATATATATTTTTTTCATTAATGCATTCCGCATTCATCTTTCGCTATGTGAGAACAGTTCGCTATGTGATAACATTTTTTCTATATATTTTTTTCATATCGTATTCAGCTTTTGTTATGCGAGTGTACATGTATATGTTGACGTACCGTACTCTAGTCCGCAGTAATTATACAACCAAACCCCACATTTGGTCGCGCAAGTGGTCGGCGTCACGTCTTCAGGACGAACATCCCCAGGGATCATTGTGAAAATTCGGTTCCGTTTGTCAACCTCGAAGCAGCCATAGTATTCTGAAGAAAAATAAAACCTATGAGACCCCCGTGCTAATGAAAGTTTAGTCAGGAGGAGAATTAGGCTGGACGTTTTGACACATGACTCTAATACAGTGTGGCGGGTCTCAAATCCAAGGGGTTAGAAATGAAAGGAACTTTATATATTTTACAACACAATTATTTACCAGCTTATATCAATCCCTATTGTTGGCCCTGATGGAAGTGCTGAGGTGTTTTACAAATGAAACCTTAGTACCCGGAGAAAACCCATGTGACCAAAACATTTTAATGTCCTATCGCGGAATTTAAAGTGAATGCGCTACATGTATACATTGCGCAAACCATTCACCCCGACCACCAATGGAATTTAGCTGTTGAGAGAATTGTCAACTGGAGAAGAATATCGAATACATCTAACTAAATTAAAATAAACACGCTTTGCACGAATAACATGAAAATTACATAATACCCTAATACCCCCCCCCCTCCCCCCCAATACTCCAGGGGTTGCCAAGAGAGCGAAAGTGAACGTAAAGCCAGGAGGATCGAGGTAACAGAGTACAAGCAACCACTCGTAAACATTCACATACAACTATAGTCAACAGTAACATAGCGAACAAATACAGTGTTCATTCTTATCAAACCATAATTAGCTGTATATACGTAGCCTTACACTAGCAATAAGGACAGGTGAGAGAGTACATTCTCCGCATGACGAACGTGAAAGATCCTATAACACATACAAGTATAACGGAAATGTCCCTGCAGAAAGTCCCGGATGTATTACCACAGGTTAATCAAGCATGTCTCATTGCATGATTGTGACGTACTCATGTACAATTAATTAAAAGCTTCAGAAATAATATTTTCATCACATTGATTTATGTTGCTTTACGCCAAGTCGAACACAAATTATAGGGAGTATTTAAAAAGTGTTCTGCTATACAGAAAAAAAGGAGAGACCGCATTGAGTGCAGGACGAAACCTGGGGAATCTTGATTGGGTTGGGTTCGGGGCGCAAACTCTTTGGTACCCTTTGTACCCTTTCAGACAATAATCTCTAGTGAAGAAGCCAACATTGATCTGATGGCCCCATTTAAACAGTTAAGATCTATATCTTTTTTTCTCGATACTCTTTCCTCCCGGTGGTGTCTCCCTGGTTATTGCGGGGACATTAAAGCCAATATTAACATCCGGAAGTGTATTGCCTTGAACAAACAACAAAAGGAAGGAGTGGAGAGTAGTAAGTTTGGCCGTTTTCTGGGGAGCTGAAGAGACGAAGGTTAGCAACAATGGTTTACCCCTGCTGTGAATGACGAAGGTCGATCATTATTTCAACAATATTGACCAAAGTTCTCTTGTATCAAACCAGCGTCCTTTTATTTCCCAACATTACTGAGCGAGCCGACGTTGTATCGCGTTTAATGGACCTAAACCTATTTCTGTATTGATCTGCCCTTTGATCAGAGTTATTTGGACTACAATGGTTAGTTCTGACATCCGTGTTTGTCATTACCAGCACATTAAGTCCTCATCATCTATCGAACGCGCCCATAATTTTCTGTTTTCATACATGGAATAAATATCCATGATTCTTTCCGTCCACCTGAACATAGCCGTATAAACAGTTTAATAGGCGAGTACGTGAATACTGATCGGGGTTTCCTTTGTTTGTCATCTTATGTCGATCAATCAGACTTATCCGATCGCCACTGGGTGCCACGGAGTGAACTGTTTCGCTGGTATGGGACACTTGAAATATTGCGGGGATTGCATTCCGCAATAACACACAATCCGATTAGTGTACAAGCTCTGTAACACTGCCTGTGACGACATGATCACGTGACACGCAATAACGTTTTATATGGAATTTGAACGCAAATCGATTAACAGCATGTATGTATCGCAGCTTATTCTTTCAAATTATAAAAAATCCTAACTTTATCTATAGACTCGATGTCTTGAGAAAAACACTGTCTAAGTAATTGTGCATTTGCTACATAGAGCGGTATAGCTGTTGTCATGCACACGTGCTTAACTGCTTATGAGAAAACGATGAGATCCTTTTATCATAGGTCCTTTGTCATATGACATTTGTTATTACGAAGATTCAAACATGCACTATGACCTCAGTAAGATTAATAGCACCTCTCTTCCCCTTGGTGAGATAGGGGGGATTCTTAAGTTGCCAAACATTAGGCTTACCTAACGCCACGGGTTGAGCGCCATTTATGTATAAAATGCGTTGTCTTTTTGAACCTGATACAGGCAAAACATGCTTTCATTAACATTGGAGCACTTTGTTTATACATAACTGAATGTTATAAGGCACAGACGTAACATCATATAGTCCCCCAAACTTGTATACCAGTGTTCTTCACAACACGTTTTATGTACCGGTAAAGATCTATATCATCAGATCAATGAGGATTAAACATGGAACCTGAAGATGACCGTCACAATTCACAGTTAACGCCTGACGATGTGGTCGTAACTCACATTATAAAGTCATCCCACCTATGGTAAATTCATTTTATATTAGGTCCATTTAGATGATTACATTCAAATCGACCAGACATTAAACCAGACCAGTTGTGCATTGTAAAGTGGTGCCGTCATTTAATAGATAGAAAAGTAATCGATACATTCAGCGAATGTTGCTGTCAAATCTGTGACGAAGATAAATTATACGTTCTAACGCTATTTTTTAATGTGTCGGAGATTTCAAAACGATAAAAGGTGTTGATGCAATGTTTTTCATGCCAAGTTATTTACTTCATTATTCACAAAACAAACATGATGGGTACACGTGGGTACACGTGGGTACACATGGGTACACGTGGGTACACGTGGGTACACGTGAAAAAACCGGTAGACTAATCTCAAACGAAACAACAAAAACCCAGGGTACACTCAACAACGTCTTAATCACGACTCTAAAACAACTTCGGCGATATATTATATTATCATATAAAGCACCATTTATTGGTGTATGGAAAACCAGGTCAACAACTTGACATGACTTGCAAAAGTATAAGCAATATAAGTTTGTACCTAAGTAAGGAAACGTTTGTACATATCATGTCTTTCCGACATAAATAGTTTGTTTGCATTTGAAAGAATCTGTAGCAATATAGACTAGGACTAGTTAGCACGCTTCTGAACAGGGGGTCGCGGTGGGCAAGTGGCTAAGGCGTCTGGCATGCTGCTACCACTAGCACTGGGTCACGGGTTCGAGACCAACATGGGGCAGTCGCCAGGTACTGACTCTATGTAGGTTGATGTTTTTTCTCTTCGGAAACTCCGGCTTTCATCCACCACCAAAACCTGGCACGTCCTTAAATGATCAAAGCTGTTATTAGGATGTAAAACACAACAAACCAAATTTCTAAACAGACACAACAACTTGGAATACTCACTGAGTGCGGCGGCGTAGTGTACCAGACATATCTACAAAATAAAGACAACGATATAGGATTTAGATAGATCTACACAGTAAGGAAACGTAACTTGAACATGGGAAAAAAACTGAAGAATAAACTAATTTACCCTGCTTTATTGCTCTTTTCATCTACTCTTAAGAAAAGCAAGACACTGAGTCTGAACAGTCTGGGCTTATGCTGTTTGATTAAGATAAAAAGTGTTGTAAACCGATAATAATTACATCTATCTTGTATTCAGGTGTACACGAAATAATGCATGCATGGTTATGAATTGTTGAAAATCAATATGTGTCATTATTTTCCCAATCATTTCGAGTGACACGAAATATTTTTATGGGTCCTATTTTCAGTTGACGTGTTCTTCAGCTTGAATGAGACGTGCAAGCTTTGCATGACGCCCTGTGTTAACAAGTCAGTTAGCTTGTGTTTTAATTTTGTTATGAAGATAATGATTTGATTGATGATTAATGGAAAACAAATAAAAACCTAACAAACACTTATTTACTTGGCAATGCTAATTATGTGTTGATGCGACATAGTAAATAGAAACGTTACAATGTGTGTTGCGAAATAATTATAGATAACATCTAGTATCGGGTAACAAAATAGAAATAGAAATGAATAAAAACAGTCATATGAGGATTACACTATCGATAAACACTTGAGATTAACTCAACCAAGGACTGTCTAATCCCCATTGCACAGTTTTCATGTATTATTTAAAAGCTGTTGACGTCGTCTTGCACGGTTTATCTAAAGCTAGTGATGGCACATTGTAAATGAACAACAGGGACGTGGAAATATTAAAGTTTCTGATGAGCGTTAAGAATTCGATTTTCAAATTTTCTAATTTCCCATTTCTTGAAAGTAACCTCCCCGAATCATCACCGTTACAGTGATATACGTCATTTCCCGACACATTTACAACAAAGGGTTTCGTAAGATGGATAATGAGTAAGTGGATTTTTATGACCACAATCAGGATCCACTGGACAAGTATTGTATATCCTAGTAGGATGAAAATATCGACTTTATCTTATCATACTCAATAGTGTACTTTGTAGTTTCGATGTCTCTACGCTTGATCCACATTTAAGGAAGTGACATTATTTTGGTTTGATCTAACTTTGCATGGCTGGTATCGCCGCAACACCTAAACATATTCTCCTTGTACCTGTGTGAAAAGTTGTTCTTATATTTAACACAATTTCACATCGATAACGAGTTTAAGCAACCGTTTTGGTTACATTCGGATTTCATCTCTTTTTTTTACCATTTACTAGTCAACGGTTCTTTGTCGTCGGATACAAAACGGTCAAGTCATGCGTTTGTCAATATATATATAATATTATAAGTGATTTATTGTTATGTAGAGTATTTTATGTAATAATTTGAACGATTTATTGTCATATAGAGATGAACATGTATGGTTATATAAAACAATATAGTGTTAAACCGTTTTTTATCAGTTAAGAGTGACTGGCCTTTACAAGAGCAAGCTTAAGTGCCACCATTATATAGCAGAACAGTCGATATTTACAATAGACGTCTCATTACTCGGGAGTCGCACAATGGCAAAGAAAATGTAAAGGTCCACATTACTTCAAACGTCTTCGGTCGATAAAATGTCGACATCGTATATAGAAATAATGTGAATGATATTCCTTTGTTTCTTGTGTTTTGCTTGCGGCAGTAGCAATAAGTTATACAAAAGTCATTCTAGCTGTCACAGTTCAGTCAATAGTCAGTGAACCGTAACCGAGGGTTACAGAAGAAAACAAAAGTATTTATGGTGGATATACAGAAAACCGTTTATAACAAGTCCTTATATTTGTAATATCAACGAACAGCATTCTAGCAGCACCTGGACCCAAACATAAGGGAAGCAAACTGAAAACACCTATATCTGGGACAAAAATAAAGGGAAGACAACACGTCAACTGGGACAGAACAAAAAAGAAAACAAATGTCAAACGAAAAAAAAGTGAAGAAAACATCAACTGGGATAAAACGAAGGGCGGGGACAAATATTTAGGCAAATCAATATATGTCAACTGTAACAGCAATAAAGTGGAGAAAAATTTTAAACAGAACAAAAAGCAGAGTATTTAATAACATTAATAAATAAAAAGTCTATAAAACATTATTATTTTTGTATTTTTGCAATATCAAATATTTCTTTAAAACTATCTTCATTAAAGATTAAAACAGCACCATGTGTATATGTCAACAATTGAGTAAGATACATATGTCAACAGGAGAGTGTGATATTTATGTCCACAAATGAGTGTGATATATATATGTCCACAATTGAGTGTGATATATATGTCCACAATTGAGTGTGATATATATGTCCACAATTGAGTGTGATATATATGTCAACAATTGAGTGTGATATAGGTAAACAATTGAGTGTGCTATCTTTGTCAACAGTTGAGTGTGATATATGTAAACAATTGGGTGTGATATATATGTCCACATTTGAGTGTGATATATATGTCCACATTTGAGTGTGATATATATGTCAACAATTGAGTGTGATGTCTATGTCCACATTTGAGTGTGATATATATGTCAACAGTTGAGTGTGATACATGTATCTATGTCCACAATTGAGTGTGATATATATGTCCACAATTGGGTGTGATATATCTATGTCCACATTTGAGTGTGATATATATATCCACAATTGAGTGTGATATATATGTCCACAATTGAGTGTGATATATATGTCCACAATTAAGTGTGATATATATGTTCACAATTGAGTGTGATATATATGATAACATTTGAGTGTGATATATATCACAACAGTTGAGTGTGATACATGTATCTATGTCCACAATTGTGTGTGATATATGTAAACAATTGGGTGTGATATATATGTCCACATTTGAGTGTGATATCTATGTCCACAATTGAGTGTGATATCTATGTCAACAGTTGAGTGTGATACATGTATCTATGTCCACATTTGAGTGTGATATCTATGTCAACAGTTGAGTGTGATATATATGTCAACAGTTGAGTGTGATATATATGTCAACAGTTGAGTGTGATACATGTATCTATGTCCTCAATTGAGTGTGATATCTATGTCCACAATTGAGTGTGATATCTATGTCAACAATTGAGTGTGATACATGTATCTATGTCCACATTTGAGTGTGATATCTATGTCAACAGTTGAGTGTGATACATGTATCTATGTCCACAATTGAGTGTGATATATATGTCAACAATTGAGTGTGATATCTATGTCAACAGTTGAGTGTGATATATATGTCCACAATTGAGTGTGATATATATGTCA